GTTCTAGTATGCCGATGTCCCTGAATAATGGTACCGGATTGTGATGCTACCGGAAGTGCATCATGCCACGTTATGTACGTTATTTGGTATGGAAGCTCAAGTAAGTTAGGTAGACTCACTCCATGATGCTAAATTTTATGCGTTCCATAAATACTGTACTTAAATCATGAACTGGTATATAATATGCCCCTCCGGACTGCAACATTGTTAGAAAAACAACACAATTTGTCTCTGCCGAATATAATAATTTGTGGTAATGGTGACGGAGCCGATTACTATTTCCATTATTTCCCCATAAGTATTTCGTTCACAGTAACATCAGCATACTTTTCAACTGCACGAAATTAAACAACGACTCAAATTCTGCACTCAAAGAAACGAATGTGGCTTTATCCAAATAACGAAACACTTATTGCAGCTAACTTGGCCGGGCATCCTGACCCATTTTAGCACGACAAATAAGACTATCCTTTTGATCTGAAATGTTAAGCGTTAAAAACAGGTTTAAACTTTAAAGTACAGGCTCTGCAGCAACAAGTGTTGCCGCAGCGCTGCACGAGATAAAAGCGATCGATGTTCATTTGCGGTCACGGCATTTGAGTCTCACCGTATCATCATGATTACCACGGCATATTTGAGCCGCAACTTATTCGCATCTTATATTCACGCAACTTATTTTTTTCCTCAGTTCGAATTAAGTTCCAAGTAGAACTTTGTAAAGCGATCCAGGCAACGAGATAATGCAACTCATGCGTGCTGTTTACTCAGCTGATTCACGACACCTCGAAATTAAATTTTTCTGTTCCGGCTGTTCAAAAAATTCCCAACTATTGCTGACTAAGAATTATCGTTTAAATTATAATAATCTCGATTGTAGCCAATGCGGATTCAGCCTCAATGGGAATACGATCGGTACGTGGTTTATTACAGGAATCAGCAGACCAGGGAAACTATGCTGTTTTTCGCTAAACTTCCTTGAAGCTCGGAAGTGGTGAAGGTCTATGCAACGATTATTTCTAAAGAATGCCACACAATAAGTTTACCTAGAATTCTTTTCAAACCGGTAAACTTATTTTATTATTCCAATTTTATTTTGGTACGAAGGTAAATACCTAGTAACGCTGTAATTGGTAAAAAAGTACCATAGCTCTTCAACAAATAGTTTCGCTGTAATCCGTCTGTACGTAATTATTTTGCCAATTTATAATTTAAGTAACATGAAATTTATATTCTTAACAACAGGTGCCTTCATTCTCTGAAAAGATAATAAGTAATCTAGAGCTACATGTTATTACACATTCCAGAAGTTCTTCCCAATCCATTCAATGTAAAGCGTAATAATTCTAAATAGCATCCATTACACAAAATACTCGCCTCAAAATATTCTTTACGTGACTATGTTCTTTCACCAGCGAATTTGTACCGCACCACAGCGAGCACACATTGCTTTGGCACCACAGTCCGGCGTCAACTGACTGCGGTGCACCTGCATGCCGGAATTGCAAGCTAGCAACGTTTTGTGAAAAAATGCACTCATTTTAACGCCAAGCCGAAGAGCACGGCTTAAAGCTATCAGAATGCTTGATATTATTCATATATTCTGACATAGTTTTGCTGGATGTGTATTGCATGCATCCAATCCGACAATGCCTCTTATTAAGCAGGGATTATTCCATTATTTTTTGGACTACATATATAGTAATAACACACATATTTTACACGAAATTATAAATAGTCAGATGTCCTTGTGACAAATTAAAAGATTTGCTAATTTATTATCCCCTGAAGAGGGGAAGATATCATCTGTTGAGCCATATCACTTCCCATTTCGTGGCAGGGGTGGCCATAACGATGGCCATAACGAAGCAGCCGATGGCCGCGCCGTAGGACAAAATCTGTGCCTGCCTGCCAGTCTTGGCGGACAGCACGCGCTGGAAGTACACCTGCGGACAGAAGGTGGAGAAATATAATTAAATATTTCCCGTTTTAAACTGAATTTTCATATTAGCAAATTTGTTTTCAATTTAATATTGAATTGGATAAATAACATCAAATATAACGTTCCTAATCAGTTTTTCAGTAGCGTATTCACTGAAGAGGACTTGAATAGTATTCCAACTATTGAGCAGCACCCAGTCGTTTCTAAATTAACAAGCTTTGAAACACAAGAAGAAGAGGTTCTCAAGCGCCTTATCGCTGTAAATCCAAACAAGTCATGTGGACCAGACGGCTTCACCCCAGATTACTCAGAGAGTTAGCAACTGTCCTACCCGGCCCTTTGACGACATTTTTTCGGGAAATTTTGAGCATAGGGATCTTGCCGGCTGACTGGAAAGAAGCACAAGTGACACCGTTGTTCAAAAAAGGTCGTAAAAGCTGCCTGGGCAACTATCGCCCTTTCAGTTTGACAAGTGTCGTTTGCATGGTAATGGAATCTGTTGTGAGGGATCGATTGATAGATCATTTGACTTGCCTGCTGGACGAAAGGGAGCCAGTAGATGCAGTGTACCTCGATTTTGCCAAGGCATTTGACAGCGTCCCACATGAGCGGTTGTTGCGTAAATTTTGGGATATGAGTAATGAGAGTATTGTACTCAAATGGATCAGAGATTTTCTAGTATTGAGACGACAACATGTCAGTATTAATGGGACCGTATCAGACTGAGCTTCAGTGCGCAACGGCGTGAGACAAAGAAACGTTCTCGGTCCTATTTTGTTCGTTGCTTTTATAAACGATCTGACCTAGCGTATGCAAGATGTATGCTGACGACACAAAAATTTATAATATGGTGAAGAATACGCCGCAAAAAGTACAGTTGCAAGGTTATCTTGACAGGTTGGTTGACTGGGCTGATAAGTGGCAGCTGCGTTTTAACGCTGGCAAATGTAAAGTTATCCACCTTGGCAAGAATAATGAACAGCAAGATTACAGTATGAGAAGACACGGTTGCAACGACAGAGTGATGCTGTCGAAGTCGACCATGGAAAAAGATTTAGGAGTTGAAGTTGAAGATTCAGAATCTCAGTCGAAGCACTTTAAACTAGATATCTTGAATAAAGAGGTAAACAACTAAAAAATAATTTGAAATTCATTGAGGTTTCGGTAAAAAACTTTATTTGGACAGCTTTTTATACATCCGAAGAACCTTATTATTAAATGCACATTTATTTATTGAAGTTGCATTTATGATGCCATTAAAAATGAACGATAAATATCCTAGGAAATAGCGGATTGTGAGACCCGATCGCTCCAGCTATTATAAAAGATACTATTGTATAGAGGAATCCGATTGAGATTCTAAGAAATTAGTAAAACATAAATATAAACCCCAGTACAAGGAGATAAACTGCTCTCGCGGGAGTAAATACGGAGCTATCAATATTTATTTTCATTTATATGTACACTATATATACTTGTAATTGTTACAAGTAAATCTTGTCAAGATATTTCCATGGACTTAAACGCTTCAGCGATCGTTTAGTGACATGTAGGTCATTTTCCTAATTTATCAAGTATTCTATTGAAGGACATTTCGAGTAAATGTTATTTGTAATATTCAGGTATTTGCATCGCAACTTTTATTATCTAGGTTGCTTCACCTCAAAGTTTCCTCTTTGCAAATTCAATGGTTTGAGTTTGTAACAATAACCCTATATTGATCATTAATCATTGATGATGGGCGAGGTAACGATAGATTGTGATCACTATATATTAGTCATTATTCATTGATGATATGTTGGTTTTGTTGCACGTAGTTGTTTAATTGATGGTCTGCGATGAACGTTACGTATTAAGTTACATTGAGAGTAAAAATAAGAGCTATGATCTTGAGTTGAACATCTTGTCATTTGCACGTCACAATATTAATCAACCTTAGTTACACACAAGTGAAGCATACCTACATCTTCCTCATGGTTAAATTCTCTACTAGAATGAAATAAATAACCCTTCTAGTCCAGTCACATAGAGATTACAAAATAAAGCACATGCATTCACTGTCTCATGAATTTGGTGCATTTAGTTGTTGAGCCAAAAATAATTGTCGGAGACCCTCATGCATATTGTTCAATACAAGACATTGTTAGACAATACCGTCAAACCATAAATGCGCTGAATATAAAGCCTAAAATGGGTCATTCATAAAATAAACGTAAAAGCCTAAAATGGGAATTGGGATATGGCATGACCATACTGATAGGGTTTATATATTTCCCCGTATTGCAAATAAAGTTCAATCTGATTAATCACTAGTTCCCAAATTATCGAGCGTGATAGTCCTTATTTAATTACTGCTCTTCTTTTAAGTTTTAAAAATCATATTCTCCTACACATTTGTAAGAGTTTATTCATGTGTTTGAAGCCTATTTGGGCACATATCCACGCTACTTATCGTGTCATGATATTACTTGTAAATAAAATATTATTTTTAACTTCTGTATCACATGACGTTGAAAAATTGAGGTTGGTGAGTTTCATTGATTAAAATTAAAATATGATTTCAACTTTTTTCATGGTAACTTTACTGAAAAAAAAACTTCACTTGTCCTTTAGATTTTAAAAAGAGAGCTAAATGGCAGTGCCGTGATGAATGTGGGTTCTAAGTGCTCGTCTTTAAGTAAGTGTACTGTAGATTTTCAATATCATTCGGGGGACTACGAATTCAAANATGTTATCAATATTATTGATCATTTGTGATTTATATACAATTGGTGCATTATCCAGCTACAAATTCCAATCATTGGATGTAGTAAAATGTTTTCAGTAATTGAAGTACATACGTTTTTCTCAGGCGTGGTGGAGCCATGTTTCATACACCTCTCTTTCGGTCAAGGTCAGCCGGCTACTACGCATGAATGCCTGGTGGCAGAGAAACATAACATGTTCCGTACGTGCTCTGAACCTTCAGAGAACACACCTTATTAACAGAAAATAGCTAAATGCAATGTCTTTACTTTTACAGCCATTTTTATTAGCTGGGCACAAATGTTCCCGTTCGGCGTTAATGGGTTAAGCGAGACACCAACAACAGCGCGGTCATTGTCACCAGCATCGACATGGTTCTGCACGTAATAATAGTCTGTATAAAACAATAATAATAGTATAATATAATATTTTTAATAATGGTAAATAGTATGTATAGAACAATAGTAACAATAGTAATAGTTTATGAAAACAAAGTATGATCAGCTTAAACATACATTATAACATACAGATATCGGCGTCGATGAATAGGCCGGGTTGAATGTACGAAATATGTATAAATTGAAAATTTTAGCTTCACCCTCATTTTTTAACTGATATGTGTGTATTTTGATATTATTTTGAATCAGCATACGTGGAACTCTTGTATCATATCGAATAAAAAGACTTGCAAATTAAATGCAACTTAGAGTCAAATATTTTTTAATGAAAAAACACTCAAGGATGGAAAAATTAAGAATAATTATAGGGTTATCTTTGAGATCATTTATTTAATAATCTTATTTGGTTTTGATTAATAATATTTTGTTAGGCAGCAAAATTAAAGCAAGAATAATTGAATTTAATACATTTACTTGTAAACAATCCGTTTTTAATACCCAGTAATTGTTAATATATTAAGGAAATTAACATAAACCAATAAAGTTCGATGGTGCCACACATGTCAACAAATGGCCACCTGCATGGGAAGTGAAATATGAATGTGAAATGGCCACCTGGATGGAAAGTGAAATATGAATGGGTATTGAAATGGCCACCTGAATGGGAGGTGAAATATGAATGAGAAGTGAAATATGAATGGGAAGTGAAATGGCCACCTGAATGGGAAGTGAAATATGAATGGGAAGTGAAATATGAATGAGAAGTGAAATATGAATGGGAAGTGAAATGGCCACCTGAATGGGTAGTGAAATATGAATGGGAAGTGAAATGGCCACCTGAATGGGAAGTGAAATATGAATGGGAAGTGGAATGGCCACCTGAATGGGTAGTGAAATATGAATGGGAAGTGAAATGGGCACCTGAATGGGAAGTGAAATATGAATGGGAAGTGAAACGGCCACCTGAATGGGAAGTGAAATGGCCACCTGAATGAGAAGTGAAATATGAATGGGAAGTGAAATGGCCACCTGAATGGGAAGTGAAATATGAATGGGAAGTGAAATATGAATGAGAAGTGAAATATGAATGGGAAGTAAAAAGGGCACCTGAATGGGAAGTGAAATATGAATGGTAAGTGAAATGGGCACCTGAATGGGAAGTTCTGCGTCTCGTTCTCGTAGTCGTACCACGGATACTTGATGACGGCTGGTAGCTTCAGAACTGGCTCTCCTCCTATACAAAAATAAATTTAATTAATTTCGTGAATTAATAAAACTTTTCTATGATATTATAGGAGTAAAACTCTCACTCGTTAAGAATTTATCATCACTATAATATATATATATGAGCACAACTATATTAATGCAATGCGAAAAAGCATTCATCAATAAAATAACTCATTGTCATTAGACAACAACTTACTTTCAAGGACCCAAAAGCTATTAGCGCCCCAAAAGCTATTTCAGTGTTAATACAAATTTCGACATGACTAAAATGTTAATGGAAATTTGAATTGAACTTCAGTTAGACGGCCGTTGCGCCGTCCTTAATTTGGACGGCGCAATAATGTCATTGACAGTTATTATGACCCATAGTACGCCACCGGGGTGACTGTGGCCAACGTTTATTATTTTGTTTTGCTGCTATTTTTTCTGTTGTAGGGGTGCCGAAGTGACCCACGGCGGCCGAAGTCACAACACTTGACAGTATCAAAATTTTCTTTCTTTAAAGACGGAACAAAAAAAAAAAGTTGAAATCTTATTCACCTGAGTTGAACAAGCGACTAAGACTCATGGTAAAAAAATAGAACTATCGAAAACTTATATTTAATAGCACACAAGCATTATAAATTGGCTTAATGGCAATCCCCATGATATTTGATGGAAATCATCTTGACGAGTTTCCACCAAATTTTTGCCCATCTCACAATAGGGCATAGATGGAAGTCGTAAAAATGGCGATGGCGCAAGCCACTGCCGTGATGACAGGGATGGCAAGTCGCAGCACAATGTTCATCTCCCGAATGCTGGCCTGTGAACAAAAATATTTTAAAACATTAAGCTCGTAAAAGAGTTTTGTAAACCTTTTTTAATTCACAGTCGTATTATTTTCCGCATTTTGTTTAGAAGGTGTGGAAGTGTTGTGAAAAAAATGAAGCATCATGTAGTGTTGATTAAATTTTGAACCGCAAAAAGCCAAAATGGACGCTAGATTTAGAGATGGTAATATATTAGCCAAAAAATTTCCACCGAAGTGAAAAAGTAGATAATTACACTATCTGAAATGAACTGCTGATACCTTTTTCACTAAATTTTTGCTGTATGGCTCACATGAGGTCGGATGACGCCTTTGTAGACGTTGTGGGTGAACATGGACGAGGCGGATAGCACCGAGGAGTCAGCGGACGACATCACAGCGGCCGACACGGCGCCCAGGCCTATGAATGCCACCCACTAGTGGCAGGATTAGTGCAGGTTAGTGCTGAGCAAGAACTTTAATGAAGAACGCGCAAGATTTTTATTTATAATACGAATACATACAAAATAGATAATTCGTGCGTGTATATAAATGGGTTTGATAATAAAATATAATTATAAAAGTTACATCTTTACAAGTGCACATAAGCGAGGTTGATGCTTTTTACAATAGATTTTATCGAACAGGAGACCAAACTTTAAAGATTTCATTCACTGGAAGTTCAATCACAAGACGTTGAATTAAAAATTATTTGGAAACCCACAAAGCTAATTTTCTTTCAAAAATATTATATCATGCTTGAGCTAATATTGAAGTTGAAGCGCCACAAGCAATTTTCATTTTAAAGGGGAGCGTCTGGGTCCAAAATCGACAATTGTGGCTTTTCCTGTTTTTAGTTTCATCGTAAAGCTGACATTCTGACCTATCCAACGGTACCAAAACCATCTCTGTGCGTTGATCTATGCGTTCACGACAGATCGCGAAAGGGTTAGGGATGGTGGAGTTCTTCAACATTTACGATAGGAAATAATTGCCGCAGTGCACTTTAAATAGCTAGTCTTAACACACTTCGCTCCAGTAACCCTGTTGCAGTCGTGTGGGATAGTTCTCGCGCCGTCGTTCGCACCATACTTGACAGAAATTGAGGTCCAGTATCGTCTTGTTTTGCCTCCTTGCAGCCTTGAATGCCGATTTCGAGGCGCCCGGGACTTTGTCGGGCTCTACTGAACATTCAAACTTATTGTCACTTACTATCTCCTCCTACAGTTTTGAAGCTACAGCAATGAGAGATATACTATTCGATTTGCAAATAAAATATTTAGAAATTGGTCGTAGTGTTTTTCAATTTCGTTATAGTTTTGAAAATATTTCGAAAAAAGGGAGTTAAAAAAGTGGGATATCGAAAATTTTTCGAAAGTTTTACGAGAAATATCCCCCTCACCCACAATAATTCGATTTTCGAAAAAAGCAACGACGAATCGATAGATATGGTCCTTTCGCATCAAATGATATGCGTATCGATGTTGTAGCTTGAAAATCCTAGGAGGAGATAGTTTTCTACGGTATCCCCTTTTTGGCCGTTTTCTAAGAATTTCACGTTATCTTTCATTTTTCGAAAAATTTACGTGAATAAAAGCCGTATATTTTTCTGTTTTACATATGTTTACCAAGTTTCATAGTGATCCGTCAGTAAATAACAGACTTTTTTACTCAGACGCTCCCTTTTAAAAAATCTATGACGCTGGAGCTAATATTGATGTATTATTTTCGGTTTTATACTAAAACACATTTGAAATAATCATGTACGACATTGCATGTGTGAAAGAAATTTATCCGGCTCACTTTTATCCTGAAATTGAGACTGTGCTCGATGGGTTCGATTTGAAGTTTTTGTTCTATAGTAGAAAAATGAGAAGGTAAATCATGCTTCGAATCTGAATAAATTTTAACGGAATAATATGATGTTAATTCGGAGCGTGCAAATTGTTCGCACACGTGGCATTTGAGCCTTAAAAAAATATTTACGATAGTTTAATACTGTAATTGATCCGGTCAAAGTTCATGATAATCTCCACGTCGGCAATCAGAATAATTTTATTAATTATGAAACTCCTCTTAAAAAATTTATTTCATTCATTGCGGCTAATTCCTACAATAGATTTTTTTCTTCTCTTAATGCATGATAGTATACTGTAGTTATTGCAGTATAATTAATTAAGATGACTCGCGCACGAAGAAGTTTGTCATATTGTGCGCAGAGTAGAGGACCTGAAACTACGGAGAGTACTCGGAGTTAACGGAAAGTGATTATATTCTTAGCGAAAACCAGATTCAATGTCTTGATCCTGCCCATAGAAGATTTTCGGAAATCTGCGCCTATATTATTTTTTTCATATCACAATGAAAAACAAACGCACAAAATCTTTGATTCTCTCTTAAATGCGAGACAATCAACATGTATTGTTATTATAAAGATCTCACCGATGGCGTGAGATACTGTAGCACCAGAGGGAGCACGAGCTTGGCTTTCCCGGCTTCCACGATACTTTGGTTGAAGGGCGTCTGCTCCCACTCTGTGAAGTGAATGAATTTACCCACTCAAAAATTACATGATGGCGTTTGCTCCCACTCTGTGAAGTGAATAAATTTACCCACTTAAATTTCACGTGATAAGTGAAAAATATATACCATGAACAGCAAGATTACAGTGTGAGAAGACATGGATGTAACGAAGGAGTGCTGATTGCGAAGTCGACAATGGAAAAAAATTTAGGAGGTTATGTCCACAAGGAGTTGAAGTTTTCTAAGCATATTGAAGCTCAAGTTAATTATTCCAATAAATGGATTGGACAATAAACGTACCTACAGTTTTGCACTTGATGGACTTGCGTACCGACAGTTTTGCATTAACGAAGCAGCCGATGGCCGCGCCGTAGGACAAAATCTGTGCCTGCCTGCCAGTCTTGGCGGACAGCACGCGCTGGAAGTACACCTGCGGACAGGGTGGAGAAATAAAATTAAATATTTTCCGTTTTAAACTGAATTTTCATTTTAACAAATTTGTTTTCAATAAAATATTGAATTGGATAAATAACATCAAATATTTTCAACTTTAAACTAAATTTTCAAATTAACCAATTCGTTTTCAACAAAATTTTGTATTCAGGATGAATACCTAAATTGTAGATTCGAGCAAGCTGCAGAAGAAAAAATATTACAAATTGTAAATGCTAGATGAAAAGTATTATAAAATGTCATAAAAATGAATTACCTGCCAAGGGATGCCTCCGCAGATGAGGAGGAATGCATAGTCCCACCATGTGCCCCACTCGTAGGGGTTGTTGGGGGGCTCCCCGAGCCAGTTGGTGGTGTTGGGGTTCAGGGAACCAGAGTACTCGCTGTGTAGGGAGAACGGCACTGCCAGCCACTGCACAAACATATATAATAATGGCTTCAGTTGTTCAGTTCACGAATATATAATTACTTGACAACTAAGTGTATAAGTTTGTGTCGCATGTCTGATTAACTTAAGTAATTGTTGCTAGTCGACATGCAGTCATTAAAGTGAGCTTTCTTAGTTTTTTATCAACAATCGTAGATGAAGAGATGTTTTTCAGTCGTTGGTCGGCAGCAAAATTGAAGTAAGTTGATTCTTTTATGGCTCATTGACAGGTATTCACATTCATAGAAGTAGATTTTTCCAGTCGCTGGTTAGAATTCGCATTCACTGAAGTCAAGTTTTAATTTAACTCTCATGGTCTTTATTGTTGAGCTTATGCATAGTTGTGCTTAGTTATTTTTATATTCCCGCATCGTTACTCTCCACGCAACACACAACACTTACTACACATCACACACCACACACTCACCAGGCCAATAGCAATACAAAAGAGCTGCACCACGTCTGTGTATGCCACAGAATACAGCCCTCCTACAAGGGTGTACAGTACGGCTATCGACGCCGACACTACGATCGAAATCGCGTCAGGTAAATCCAGGATTACCGACAATGTCGAACCTGTAACAAAAATAGAGCCTTATTGTCAACATCAAGACTTCCGGGATGGTGAAAATAATTAATAACCTAGTTGACCTTATGGGACGAAAAATAATCTGATAGGAGCCAGCGAAATAACGTGGACAAATATGAGATTAAATTACGGATCAATGAAATGTACGATTTAAATTCTACTGCTGTCGAGTATAACCTCATGCAAGATACTATAGAATGTATGGCTCATGATGACTTTAAAGGGTCTCCACGCACGCCATAGTTGGGTCCCGCAATGACAATACAGTATATGGGCCCCATGATGACAATGTGTAGGCCCCGCGATGACAATATATTAGCTCCTGCAAAGACAATATTTGAGTCACATTTGGACAATATTAAAGCCCAACAAGAAGAAATGTATGCCCCATGAAGACAACATGTAGTTCCAACAAAAAATATCTATGTGGACCAGCAGACCCCACCATTGAAGTCCAACGACCCACCAAGGGCGGCCAGGATGGACGCAGTCCAGAGAGTCTCGCCAAACAAGGCGGGCAGGTAGAGAGCGCAGCCCCAGCGCTGCCCATAGCTCTCCTGTAGAGGGTCTAGCATTGTCTTGTACTCCGCCTCACGCATCTTCTTCGCAAAGAATAGACCGCCTGCAATCGAAAAACTTTAAAAACACATATAAGTAGTTATATATACATAGATATTAGCCGGACAGGATTCGTAACATTACCGGACATTGGTTAGAAATCCGGACTAAATCGAGTCCGGTTATGTACCTAACAATTAGTTTGTACTTGAAAACCGGACACGGAAAAATGAACTATACACTACCGGGACATTCTAAAAAATGCCAACCTCGTTAGGTTAGGGTTAGATTTAGGGTTAGGTGTGTATAAAATCCTTCTTTACATTGCTTAGTTTGTACTTGCACTGTCTTACGATCGAGCTTTCATAAAAAAAGAACTTCTGCCCAACTAAACGTATTTATGTCTTTATTTCAATGCATTTATATTCTATTTTCATAAAAATTAAATGTCATTTCTCCTGTGCGTATGGAGAGCTCGTCTCACCTAAGACGAGACTGATGGCGTAGCCGAAGGGCGCCTGGCAGTACAGGAGGCCCTGCGTGAACGTCTAACCGGACACGGAAAAATGAACTATACACTACCGGGACATTCTAAAAAATGCCAACCTCGTTAGGTTAGGGTTAGATTTAGGGTTAGGTGTGTATGAAATCCTTCTTTACATTGCTTAGTTTGTATTTGCACTGTCTTACGATCGAGCTTTCATAAAAAAAGCACTTCTGCCCAACTAAACGTATTTATGTCTTTATTTCGATGCATTTATATTCAAATTTTATAAAAATTAAATGTCATTTCTCTGGTGCGTATGGAGAGCTCGTCTCACCTAAGACGAGACTGATGGCGTAGCCGAAGGGCGCCTGGCAGTACAGGAGGCCCTGCGTGAACGTCACCTCCGCCGTCCCGTTGATGTAGCCTCCGCCCACCCACGTGGCTGTAGGCCAATGCTATCATTAGGGTAATGCTACTATCATTAGGGTAATGACGCTGAAATCAGTAGAGTGCAATGCTGCTGCTATCATTACAGTGTAATAATGCTGCTATGAACATTCGATTATTAACATTGAGACTCGGAATAGAATTTGAGCTTCTTTTTGTTGTCTTATTCTAGCATTTCTCGGTTCCCAGCACCTGTCATATTCACCGTTCATGTAACTCATGTTACCCCAGTGCCTGTCTAATTACCCAAGCACCTGTCTTGTTACCCCAGCACCTGTCATGTTACCCCAGCACCTGTCATGTTACCCCAGCACCTGTCATGTTACCCCAGCACCTGTCATGCTACCCCAGCACCTGTCATGGTAATGATGCTGCTATCATTAGGGTAATGATGCTGCTATCATTAGGGTAATGATGCTGCTATCATTAGGGTAATGATGCTCCTACCATTAGGGTAATGATGCTCCTACCATTAGGGTAATGATGCTGCTATCATTAGGTAATGATGCTGCTATCATTAGGGTAATAATTCTGCTATCCTTAGGGTAATGATGCTGCTATCATTAGGGTAATAATGCTGCTATCATTAGGTAATAATGCTGCTATCATTAGGGTAATGATGCTGCTATCATTGGGGTAATGATGCTGCTATCATTTGGTAATGATTCTGCTATCTTTAGGGTAATGATGCTGCTATCATTAGGTAATGATTCTGCTATCATAACACTGTAATGATAGCAGAATCATTACACTGTAATGATTCTGCTATCATTACAGTGTAATGATACTTGCAGTGTAATGATTACATTACAGTGCAATGATACTGGTATGAACATTCGATTATTAACATTAGGACTCTGAATAGAATTTGAGCTTCTTTTGTTGTCTTATTCTAGCATTTCATGGTTATCCCAGCACTTGCCACGGCTATCCCAGCACCTGTCTAATTACCCCAGCACCTGTCATGGTCATGAGGCCCACGAACGGCCCGATGCTCCTGCCGGCCAGGATAATCTCGTCGGAATTATCCTTTTTACTCCTGCGTCGCCAGGCAGCGTAGATCCCGACGCCAAGGATGAGGGCGTAGAATAGCAATATGGCCACCAGTCCTGCCACGTTCAGCGCCATTTCCCCAACGATGAAATGAGGAGACTATGAAGACGAGTGTAGAAAAAACTGTAGATTTGTAACGCTGAGTAGTCACAGGCCCACAAATTGCCACTCCTACGAAAACGATGAAAGCAAGCATTACAATTTTATTTCTTTGAAACATATAAATACTGACTGCCTCAGGTAATATTACGCTTAAACTTTGCAATTAAATTGACATTAAAAGAATTCATGCTCGGGGAAACTTGTAGAGCAAAGGTCAAGATAATGTAAGGCTTTAGTCTTAAGCGTCATCAAATAGTCGTAATTTTGGGTGTGTATTGAACAGTTTTGACGTGGTCCGGACGTAGGACTCTGCACAGATAATCGTTATGTAAAAGGAGGATTTTGATTTGAGAGGCGAGAAAATCTTGAATGTGTACATGAATAGAATTGAAGTACAGGAGGGTAATTTCATTGGAAAAAATAATAGTAAAATAGCCAGTTTTTCTCGAATAAATAACGCAAGTTTGAATGCAGTCAGTGTTGGCAAAAAATAAACATTCTGTACGTGCACTTCATCATGTACCACACTAAAAGTCGGAAGCGGTATATCATAATTATAGGTTTCTATGGATTGCCATTGTATACGCGATGAATGTACGTGTAGTGCAACAGGGCTGCAACACAGGCCGGTTGGTATATCCAAACAGCACACGCAGTTCTACACAGTCGTTCTTGTATGCAAGTTTGAATACATGTTGCTCAGGCTGGCGCGTTGAGCAGAAACTGCACTAGTGATGGACTAACACATGATGCAGGCTGACAGATGCTGCGCTTACACTAGATCCAACCACATCAGCCATCATCACCACATCATTCATCATCACCACGTCATTCATCACAAACACATAATTCATCTGCACTACATATCCATCATCACAACATCATTCATCATCACGACATCATTCATCATCACAACGTCATCATTCATTGAAATGAAGGTTCGCTCCGCCGTTGGTCAGAATTCACATTCATTGAAATGAAGGTTCGCTCGGCCATTGGTCGGAATTCGCATTCATTGAAATGAAGTTTCGCTCGGCCGTTTGGTCAGAATTCACATTCATTGAAATGAAGTTTCGCTCGGCCATTGGTCGGAATTCGCATTCATTTAAGTAAAGTTTTTTTTATCATGCATCACATTGACGAGGCATGCAAACCGACGGACAACGCTTAATTAAGCTTGTTGACGAAGGTGCTTTTTAGTTCAGGTGTAACGCACATTTGTACTGTACAATTATTGCTTTCAGTAGGAGCAAATTTATCCTGAATCTATTCTATGACCATTACTCAATTATAGACTTTGATAAGAAGAGTCAGTCATCTGTAGAACTATCATGAGCAACTGCAATGTCCTGCACCGAATTTGTTGTCCCGACAAATTTGCAGCAGTGCAAGCGTATGAAAATTAATAACAAATTTTTATTAAATTCATACACCAGGCAGAACATGTTATTACAAATATTTAGCTGAATGCGTAAGTACGGGATCGCTGTTCTATAATTAATAACTCAAGTTCCTAGGATGACGTTTGCCGTTATTGTCACCATGTAATTATATGTGTAGTAGGCATAACAAAATTGTTAAATAATAATAGCATAATTGTCTGCCATAGCTGGCTGTTAAACCCTGCATGGAACTGACCGGTTCGGCCCTCACTAGGGTTCACAATTAGACACTGTCAAACAGCTATAATTAAATAAATAATATTTAAATATATATTTAATTTGGTGGATTTGTTTATAAATAGCAGATTAAACGTTTTCATGCAAATGTTTCATATGAGTCATTGAATTTAACATTATTCAAATAGTAAACCCGAAAACAGGACTGCATCAATTCATCGAACGAAGAATGTAGGAACGGTGTCACACGGCTGATGTATTATTGCCCTGTAATAAACATGCTTCATTGTGTGACTTCATCATAAAAAACAGCAGAGGGGTATTTAAATGCCAGGAAAAATGACTAAGCCCGAAATGATAAGCATCTCTGAACCAATCCATCAGTGGGAGTTAATTTAAAGCTCTGTTTCCTAGCAATGTGACGGGCTCCCCATTATATTAAGACCCCACACTCTAATTACACACTACACTATACAATCACCCCATACTCTATAATCACCCCACACTCTATTATTCTACACTATATAATCACCCCATACTCTATAATCGTCCCACACTCTATAATCACCTCACACTCTATTACCACAGCACACTCTATAATCGCCCCACACTCTATTACTACAGCACACTCTATAATCGCCCCACACTCTATTAACACACCACTCGATAATGGCCCCACACACTATTATCACCCCACACTCTATTACACACCACACTCTATAATCACCCAACACCCTAAAATCACTATATACTCTATAAACACATCACACTTTGCTACCACCTCCCGTGAACTGCGATGTCCACGAACAAAGAAAGAGTACCACCACCTGTCACACGCGCAGCTGACTGAGAACGTGTCAATACAAGACGTTATACCCGCATGAACACAATGCCTATTAACAGCTTGCAGGGTTGACGGTCTTGCCCTGTGTTAATACAACTTCTTCATTAGTTTGAGTGTCTACACCGTAACAATGATAACGGCTGAAGTATTCAGCCTCCACTTGTAAATGCCGGCGTGACACACACTCTACCCATCAAATGCCTTGTAATGGGTGCATTGAAATCACTTAATTTGCTGCTCTGAAATAGCAATTAGTTAATTAAATCTACAATATAAGCACAACAGTTTCGGTAAAATGAAGATTATCATCATGCAGAGAGCAATAGATGACCACGTTAAACCCCTTTATGCGACTTCAGATGAGAGGGTAATACGAAATTAATACCTCGTCGTGATACTCGATTGTGAACAAAAATACTCTGAGAAATTAATATGTTTACAAACATTTAGTTCTTCATGCTCGTTATCGAAGCCGTAGACGAAATCACTGATTTTGAAGCCTCAATAAATGACAATATTCATTCGTGAATTTCGTGCAAAAAAAAAATAAGGAATAAGTTAAAAAACATAAATCTTTGTACTGGCCAAATGAAAAAAAATTAGAATCTAAGAATGATTTTGTGCATGAATTCAGTTCTAATCCTACTTGAATGAGAATGATAATTCCAGAAAAAGTCATTGGGAAAAATTTATCCTACATCTATCGATTGTTATTTTCTATCAGGATTGATCCTCGCGCTTTTCACTTTTGCATGTCCTTCCTTCTTCTAATCAAGAAAAAAACGGGGTTTTCTCAGGTGTCTACATCTTCGGCAGCTTTCTAGCAGCGTAGAACATAATTTACTTCAGTGTTCATCTCATGGATATTTATTGGAGCATAAATAACAGGCGCGACCAGCCACGTGTGTAAGAGGATGAGGAAAGCAGGACATGGGAACGATATAGGTTGTCCAGCGTGACTTTATTCTACGCTTCCTTTCCTTACAGAAATGCCGGTTATTGAATGAAGCTCGTTTATATCAGAGCGGTGTCCCGAACTGTTCAATAATGAACTAAAATTCTATGTATAACGTTTAAAATGCATCAAAACATCAGGAATATAGTAATTTATTATAAATCATTGAAACATTTTCTTCCTTTAGTTTTTCTTGTACTATATCTCGCCAATGAGAAAAAAAAACTCATTGAGAAAATCGGATCAGTTATGAAAATTTGTTATTAATTACCAATGTGCAGGGTTTTGCCGTTCATTTATGTTGAATAAATTACTTAATTAATTACAATAATTTCTCTCTAAAAGAGAAATTAATCTTTANGACCCAGCCAACCTGTACATGACAAGTCTCTCGCCAGCGGGACCCAGCCAACCTGTACATTACAAGTCTCCCGCCAGCGGGACCCAGCCAACCTGTACATGACAAGTCTCACGCCAGATGTGCCCATGCAATTTTTTCCATGTTGAACATTTATTGGCTGTCGCGTTTTCATTTCGAAAACATAGACACAAGTCGATTTACTGCGGCATATGTTAACATAACGTGCTAGATAAAAATTACATTTTGCTAGTGTTATTTATGAAGGTATTAAATTGAGATCATGCATTTTTCCAAATTGTAGAGTATTAGCAAGTGAGTAGTTTCAGACAATTGAATAATCATTCATTTTTGGTGATCGAGAATAGTTATCGAATTATACAATTGTTTATAATCCAACAATATTATTTACATTACAAGCGTCCGGAAAAAAGACCTTCTGGCACTCTCTATGCAAGCGGTCACGGAGTACAAGGTCAACGATGTGCTGGGTTGGAGGTTGCCTCCATTTCCGCACCTGCATACACGCAATGGATGAGGGGGGACAGTTGCGGTTATTGTATGCCGATGTCCATAAATATTGACACCGGATTGTGATGCTACGGGAAGTGCATCATGACTTAATACGTTGTTTGGCATGGAAGCTCAAGTGAGTTAGGTGGACTCACTTCATGATGCTAAATTTTATGCGTTCTATAAATACTTACATCATGGACTGGTATATAATATGCACATCCGGTTTGCAACACTGTTAGAAAAACAATGCAATTTCTGCCTGCGAATGTAATAATTTATGGTAATGGTGACGGAGCCGATTGCTATTTCCATTATTTCCCCATAAGTATTTCGTTCACAGTAACATCAGCATACTTTTCAACTGCACGAATTAAACAACGACTCAAATTCTGCACTCAAAGAAACGAATGTGACTATATCCAAATAACGATACACTTATTGCAGCTAACTTGGCCGGGCATCCTGACCCATTTTAGCACGACAAATGCATGAGCGTATCAGGGCTACGTTCGCTCCCTGCTTGTACGTGCTGTGGGTGAGACTGTCTGTCATAGTGACTCGATTATTTCTATGAGTATAGCATTCTTTTGATCTGAAATATTAAGCGTTAAAGAACAGGTTTAAGGTACAGGCTCTGCAGCAACAGGTGTTGCCGCGGCGCTGCATGAGATAGAAACGCTCGATGTTCACTTGCGGTCACGGCATTTGAGTCTCACCGTATCATGAATGATGTTATTTTGATCAATGCATGTTGTTTAATTACTATCCAAGGCCTTCATGCAACACCTCTTTCCATTCCGCTATTCTTAATTAATGTCGACCTCAGCTCATTAACAGTAATTGTTGTTGCTTAACATGTATACGCAACAGGTTACAATGATTGGCAATGGAAGGCGGCACGGCTAGAATGCATTCACCTTCTCAAACACACTCGCATATCAAATACTGTACACACATAATTTTACCTATAAGCTACCTAATTTACTTTTTTTGTTTAGAAATAATGAATTATAAGACATAAAAAACACAAATCTTCTAACGAATTCATGCTAACATATATTAAAAAGACACATTTTCAGCAATAACAGTCATGGGAAAAGCAAAAAGGTATTTCGAACTTTCAAGGCCCGGATTTAAACAAATTATTTTTTGTAATTTATTTATCTAACTGGAATTTATTCTGTTCAATTCTGCCTTTTTAATTGTCTTAATAAATTACAAATTCATGAAATTAGCCCGTCTCTAACACCACATAATGATGATAGTCTCACATTTATTTATACGTGGGATCTTTGATGTAGAACTTCAACGACCTCATGATTTTATGCACATTATTACCATCGGACCTGTGGGAGCGTTGGCAACATATCACTCAGACATATGACTGGGTCATCTTGTCCAAATGGTGGCACGCTTTCCGCAAGTAGTACTGATACGCCCAGGAGCAAAATGGGTCTGGATGACCCACTGACATTTTTGTGTCAGTGGGTCATCCATTTTTGCCACTGACATGGCAAAAATTGCATCGCTATTTTGCTAAGTCTGGCTCATGCCTCCGAGTGACGCATCCAGTCCGACAAAGATGGCGCCTCAAATTTTTCCTCCTTTGAGAGACGTCACTTAAAATGTTGCAATAAGAAGTTAAATTAGCTAACAGGGTTGGCTAAAAACATGAGAATGGCAGCGCATGAACACATCGTCATCACCGAGGGCTGCAACAGGAAATTTGTTGAGAAGCAGACGCTAGCAAAAGATTGCTGGCAGGAAATGGGAAGTCTCCTTAGTCATGTCATGCATAATGCGTAGTATTCTTTACTGAATTGGCTAGTCCTCGCATCAATAAATATGCATTGAAATTCGCAAATGCTCCGAGCAATTGTTCTTATTCATTTTAAATGTAAATATTACTTTTTGAACTCAATGATATTGATTTTCATTTAATTTATTCCAAATATGTTTGATATAAGAAATTACATGAAATATCAAAATGCTCAGCAGTTTTTAGTGATATTCTGTATACTAAAATCCGGTGCATTATCTTCATAAGCAATATTCTATAAGCGATATCATGGTAACCGGTTTCTTCAATGGTTCTAGCACCCTCGATGAGGTATATCACTTTTACTTACGAGCGTCGTATAATTTATACCGGATAATAACTATTTACGGTATTTAACATTCATTATATCCCTCGTCACGATGGCTGTAAAACAGCAAGATTCATTCTTGAGCAGCAAAATAATCCATGTATTCATCTAAAATTTATTTATTGACGGGACAAGAGTAGCAACATTAACGTGAACGGTGTGAAGTTAAATATTATTACGTAGTGTATGGGCCATTACTTCTAAGTAGCTGGTTTCTTGCCGATTCGGCAATGGGAATTTTTCCGTTTCCCGTTCCCGTACATGCCGTCTGAAACTATATCGGCACCTCGCAAAACAAGCGGCGTGGAGTTATCAAGCAACTTATTTTTTCCTCAGCCGAATTCAAGTTCCAAGTAGAACTTTCTAAAGCGATCCAGGCAACGAGATAATGAAACTCCTGGGTGCTGTTTACTCAGCTGATTCACGACACCTCATAGTTAAAATTCATCTGTTGCGGCTGTTCAAACAATTCCCATCTATTTCTGACTTAGAATTATCGTCGAAATTATAATGATCTCGTGAATAGCCAATGTCGATTCAGCCTCCATGGGACTACGATGCTAGGTTTATTCCAGGAATCAGCAGACGAGGGAAACTATGCTGTTTTTCACTGAACGTCCTTGAAGCTCGGTCGGATGTGGTAAAGGTCTATGCAACGACCATTTCTAAAGAATGCCACGCAATAAGTTTACCTAGAATTCTTTTCAAACCGGTAAGCTACTATAGCTCTTCAACAAATACTTTCGCTATTATCCGTCTGAACGTAAATACTTTGCCAATCTATAAAGTAGAATAGAATGCGTAGAAGTGTCGGCACTGAAGTTATAGGCACATGGCGTGTTGCCGATTCCTGTACTTTTCGGCAATTTATTTAAATTCTTGTACTTTCGATAATTTAAGTAACATGGAATTGATAACATTAAGAACAGGTGCCTTTATTCTCTGAAAAGATAATAAATAACCTACTGTTACATGTCATTACACATTCCAAAAGTACGTCCCAATCCATTCAACGTATAGCGTAACTAATTCTAGGTATCATTCATTGCACACAATACTCGCCTCAAAATATTCTTTACGTGACTATGTTCATTCACCAACGATCTTGTGCAGCACCATACCGAGCACACATTGCTATAGCACCACAGTCCGGCGTCAACTGATTGTGGTGCACCTGCATGCCGGAATTGCAAGCTAGCGACGTTTTCACCTCTTACATTATTAGACTACTACCGTAGACCACTGGACAATGTGCTCATTTTTACGCTACGCCAGGAAGCACGGTTAAAAGCTATCAAGAATGCTTGATTTTATTCATATATTCGGACATAGTTTTTGCTGGATGTGTATTGCATGCATCCAATCCGACAATGCCTCTTATTAAGCACGAATTATTCTATCATTTCTCGGACTACCTAGTGATTATACACATTTTTACACAAAATTACGAATAGTCAGATGACCTTGTAACAAAATTATTGAAAGATATGTTGAAATTTCCAGGTGCCTAATCCACCACTCACATTTTTTATTGTGTTTGCCGTGACCATATGTTGACGATGTAACTTTGTTGTCCCGTTAGTTTTGCGTTCATTGAGACATTGACTCAGTGACTGTCTACAGTCGAGCTCGTATCTACATTGTAGATTTGTAGCTTGTAGGTATGTCAGGACNCTTACGTACGAATATTTTGATAATGCCAAAATTAGGGTAGAGCGTGTTAAAAAGTTACGTGTTACTTATGTAACACGTAACTTTTTTGTCGGAAGTACAAAAAGTTACGAAGTTTTGATAATACGGCACCAGTAAAGTATCATGAATACCAGCATTATCATACTTGAGAAGTTGATTAAAATCTTGAGTAAATGAGGAAATTGAAAATGAGCTGATTCTAAAAAATCTCTGGTTTGCCACTATGCCTATAGCCTCTTGGCATGTCAAATGTATTCTGTTTTCCATTAGCTTAAGTTTTTTCACCTTTTCTTCTCATTGTTTTAATTTAATCTTATTTGAATGCTAACTTATAATGCTATGATTAGTATGATATTCACTTCTAAAAAATTTGTGATTTCAATCTTTAGTCTTTACATCAATTACATGAGGGTACATATAAATGTATATCTAATAAATAAAGGTATTTGTTCATACATGATACACCTTAGACTTAGTGCAAGTATCATTACTAAATAGGTACTGTAAAGTGGGGTAACTTAGACCGGCGGGGTAACTTAGACCACTTTTCGTTTTTTTAACAAAAACCTCCACAACTCAAAAACTATTTGACATAGAAAAATTTTAAGAAATGTAATTACGGCTGGCAAATCCATAAAACCACGGCTCAAAAAATTCAGTCGCGGCTCACCAAGCAGATATATTCCATGCCTGCTCTCCCTCAAGTTCATTTTTGAGTCCTATAAGTAGACCAGTAAAGTATCATGGATACCAGCATCATCATACATAAGATATTGGTTCAAATCTTGAGTAAATGCGGAAATTAAAAATGAATTCATTCTAAAAATTCTCTGGTTTGTCACTATGACTGATAGTGGACGCTAACAATAAAATAGGATTTAATTAATCTAGCAGGAATCTTATGGCTCCAAACATCACTTGAAGGCTCTATTTGTGGTCATAATGGTAGCTACTATATTCCATGTAGACCTATAGCCATAGTGGCAAAGCAGAGAGTTTTTTAGACTCTGTCTCAAGTTCATTTTTGAGTCCTATAAGTAGACCAGGGGCCGTATTATCAAAACTTCGTAAGTACGCAAAATCGACTTCCGACCGGCGTAAGTGCTGACTCTATGACGTAACTCTAGAGGGTGTCTGCTGAAGCGATAGGAAACTAAAGATTTACTAGCAAGTAGCAACACCTTGACTTATGATAGAATTTTGTCAATAATCCGACAGCGCGGATTATACACGCATAGAATGATGGCTCTACTTGTGATGGCGCCACTACTTGATCGTGCAACATTTGCACGATTAAAATATGTGATCGTGCTAAACAGTGCTATTGGAAAAAAATTCAATTCATTTCTTCAGAAATTTTTGAATTCATTTTCAAAAATTCAATTCATTCATTCCTTCTAGTCGGTACTTGATATCTTTGCCAACCATAATTTTTAGCTCCGTACACAGATTTCTTCTTCTGTGCCAACAAGGAGATATACCGACTCAATATCGACAGACAGCATTCGATAGTCGATACCATCGAAGGNGCCGATGCATCACTTCTTTTGAGAGTGTAATGCCTGAAGAACTGTCTCTGCAAAAAGGAGAACTTTTCCAGGTGAGAAGTGTATAAGTGCTAATTTTTAAGTCAATGAATTTTTCAACAAGTTTATTTAGTAATTTTTGTTATAATTTCATATTCTTGCCTAGTAGAATTTGAAACTATGCACTAAAATTGTTACTACATAAATAGTTGTATACAAAGTAGCATCTGATTGTGTACTTTATTGATTATTAATAAATACTTCTATATGACTCATGAAAGGTATTTTATTTTTTCATCTGTCTTTCCTGTATTTCAGGTGCTAAACATTGAAGACAAGTTGTGGGTGTATGGATGTGGGGGTGATGGAAGCCAAGGCAAAGTTCCTGCCAGCTGTATTGTTGCAGCTGATCTGTCAGCTCTGCTGCCTCCTTCAGAGCCCCATGAGCAGCTGCTGGTGGTCATTGCTGACTTTACTGCTCAGGAGGAGGGAGATTTGTCTCTCATGAAAGGTAATTTGAATTTGAGTAAGACTTCTTACTTTACTGCTCAGGAGGAGGGAGATTTATCTCTCATGAAAGGTAATTTTGATTATTTTAGTAAGGCTTCCCACTTGAGACTTCCCACTTCACTGCTCAGGATTCACTCCATAACTTTCCATAAATTCAGCACTCCATAACTGGCATTTATGTATACAAGGAAACACCCATCAAAGATACTAAGTAGCACTTATAAAATTTTCTGGGAATGCCCACTTCAGAGACCTGTGGTCATGATGATTGTACCTACTTCACATATACATATATATGTGTTATTTTTGGCTCTTAAGTGTAATTGAATAATAGGAGGCCTAAATTTGAGTTCATAGTGAGTTTCTTCAGAGAAAATTTCAGCAGAACATGAGATTGCAGAACCTCACCCCTAAAATTTAACTTGGACGTTTGCACTAAAATCTCCAAGGAATCATGTTTGTAGGCACAAAAACATGATTCCTTAAACATGATAACATGTTTAAGGATGATAACATGTTTAAGTTTTTATCATGTAAAACATGATAAAAACTTGCACTGTACTTAAAAAAGGCCTTCTTACAGGAACGGTGGTGGTAGGATCTGAATCCTTGGATGACAGCTGGTGGAGAGGAAGAGCTTATGGCAAGGAAGGCATCTTCCCTGCCAACTTTGTATGGAGTGTCAACCGAGAACTTCTTCAGGTCAGGACCAAGAATTTTTGTGTATTATGCAATGGCAATACCAAAAATTGGTGTGAGACACAATGTTTTCATCAGTTTCTGGCCATTTTCAATTTTATTTGTCATCATCATTTGGTTGTGCCCATCAAAAGTATGTTTATTACAAGTTTTTAGCAATTAAAATTCCACTGAAGTGTTATTATCTGAGGTGAGATTTGACCTAAAATTAAGTACCGGTACTACATATTGCATTGTGAAGATGCACAAATTGCATTTTTAAATCAGAACCAACTTTTTTCCTTGTAATTAGATGCAGGTTGCACTTTCTTACTTTCTCTCCATATCTGTAATATCCTACGCACATGATTGACTACATAAAGCCAATGTTTCAATTTTCTAATGCACAAGGTGATGCCTACGGTATATGATGGCAGGCTGCCTGAACTTGAATTAGCTATTTTCATGATCTAATCAACTGGGCGATGCCTTATGACAAGCTGCCTGAAAATGCATCAGCTGTTGTGATGATCAACTGACCTGCTGCTTGAAACTGAGTCAGCTGTAATATGACCATAATCTTATAAACAATAATATGACCATAATCTAATCAACAATAATATGACCATAATATGACCATAATCTAATCAACAATAATATAACCATAATCTAATGAACAGGGCGATGTCTGCAAGGAGAAGAAAATCAGTAAGCTGGGCCGAGTGTTGCAGAGCTTCACGCCGCAGCTGGACGAGGAGTTGCTGCTCACACCAGGCGATGTGGTGCACATAACGCACCAGCTCGAGGGGGACTGGTTCAGGTACAGTGGGGGACTGGTTCAGGTACAGTGGGGGACTGGTTCAGGTACAGTGGAGGACTGGTTCAGGTACAGGGCGATGTCTGCCAGGAGAAGAAGATCAGCTACTGGTTCAGGTACAGTGGGGGACTGGTTCAGGTACAGTTATTCCAAAGCTTCATCGTCAATTTCTGCCCAAGATCTTGAGAACTGTTGGTTGTGTGAGTTTATTTTTTTATTGAAAATATTGCAATATTTTGTTAGTCAGTAAATATTGCTTTCTTTTTGCATTAAAAAAAGTATTGGACCCACTCGTACAGACTATTTTGATTGAATCGTTGACTTAACGTCACAATGCTGCATTAAACTGTAATGATTAAATTAAATACCTACTTTTCCCGTGGCCTTCAAGGTCTACTGGCAGTTGTGATGCATTGAGGTACCTACTTGTATTTTTACTATTGAAATTTTGTAAAAAATTTTATGCTGCATTCATAGTGTTTTATCTTGAACTCGTTAATGCAAAGGCCTGTACCTGCCAAAAATTTTTTTGAGTTCAAAAAATTTCTCTCAGATATTTTTTGCAGGTTTTTAATGACGGTGATATTAATCCGTTTTTTTTCACTCCTCAGAGGGAAATGCCGGAACAACATTGGTATTTTTCCAGCCAATTTTGTAGAGATCACAGACCACCATTATACTGCCCCAGAACAAAACACGGAGCATTTCAACAGCGTTAACTCAGCACAAACTTCTACTCTTCCTGGTAAACCAACTTCTCGCATCTTTGGATATTCTTCCTCTGAATCCACTATGCATCCCAACGACCCTGTTGTCAGCATCCCTCCTAGCCTGGAATTGGATAATCAATTTCAGAATCAACTCGGTGGAAAAAATTCTACTTCGTCTGATGTCAGTGAAAATGTAGTATCTAGTTTCACAATCCCAAAGAATATCGCGTACGACGCAAATGCTCCAGCCGTGCTCTCGAGAATAGAAACCTCTTGGAAAGAATCAAATGATGAAAACGATATTTTTGACGACGATTACTTCAAAGTGAACATGCCGAGTTTATATCAAGCAAACTCTAAATCTGGGGCATACTCTTCCAACACCGACCAGCCTAAGGCCCAAAACGCGCCTCTGTCACGTCAGATGTTTGCCCAAAATTCTGATAATTTACGCAGTTCCTTGACCAGGAAAGTTGACGAGTATTTTGATCACAGAAGTCCTCTACGACCAACGCTCTCAAGTAACACTAATAGAGGAGTCGTTAACTCCAACAGGTAATCTTATTCAGTTATTTTATGCACTGGTTAGTGTTAAAATGCTTATTCTTAACTCCTATGGTACTGATATACATCTATTTTCTACAAATAATTATTTCATGATAATTTCTTCTTATCAATATCAATGTGTCTTTTATCCCTTTTTTAGGAAATGTTGACCTAATATTTTGCTAAACATTTGAGCTTTATATGAAAGTATTTCAATATTTAAATCAATGAAATAATTTCGACTGAATGAATGATCGAAGCATGCGAAAATATTACCATCGTAAAAAATTAGCCTTATATTTATTCGCCCTTGAGATACGACCACGAGGTGGACGAGATGCTGCAGACCGGCTACACGGAAGACAACACGGGCATCAACCCGTACGCTAAAGCCGTGTACGACTTCAGCGGCCAGTATCCTAATGAGCTCAGTTTCAGGAGGGATGAGATCATCCACCTCCTGAAGCACGTTGACTCTCACTGGACTCTAGGCATGATCGGGACCGAGCGTGGCATCTTCCCTACCTCGTACGTGGATATCATTGTAGACTGCGTGGACGGACCCGTCGAAAGTTTCCTGCTACGACCGTCCAGTGCCACGGAGGTGCCCATCATGGAAGGCTGGGCCGTTGCTGAGCATAGCTACGTTGCGCAGGAGAAGGGCGATGTTTCCGTGGTTCAGGGAGAGACCCTCAAAGTCGTCGAAATAATCGATGAAAATTGGGCCATTGTTGAAACTCAATCTTTACAGAGTGGCATGTGCCCAAGGAATCACTTCCGTATGTTGTCTGCAGAACAAATATGTAATATCGAGGAGCAAAGAGATAATTTTAATGATAAGAGTGATCCTTTATCTCTGCCAGGGGACACTTTATCAAATTCTAATCTGCCTCGTAGTGGTGATTTGGAAGTCAATTCATCATTAAATTTTGACGATATCGGTGTAGGAGACATGCATTTGAACTTCCGGAAAAGTGAAACAAATGGAAATAATGTCAACCTCGTCAGCATCGACGCATTGAAAGCAAAGCGCGTGTACAGCAAAGACGATTTCGGTCCCATCAAATCTAAAGCATTGGATGACGAGCTTAACAAAAATATTTCTTCTTTAGACCACAGCTTTCCGCTGCGTCCAAGTCGAGTTAATAGAACCGTGTTTACAAGTTCCACTTCTTCCGAGAAAGCGGAATCGCCATCTCTTCGTAATTTTGGTTCAAGTTCAACGCCTTCACCTCCGCTAAGCGACGTTGCTTCAATGACTGAAGGAAATAAGCCTTCTCGTCCCCCTTTGCCTTCTCGGGCATCTCTAAAGATGAGAAGTAGTGCTGATGTTTCCCAGTCAATGTCCGACAAAAAACTTCAACCTTTATTGCCACACCCTAAAGAATCACCCAAAACATCAACGCGTCCGCATGCTAATTTAACTCGTCAAGGCGCTTTACCCGAACAAGAAACCTCTGAAGACGTAGCAATACGTCATGATCTTCTCGATTTATCTGATGATTCGAAATCTCTCTTGCAAACTGCACCGATGGGAAGTGAAGTTATGATTGATACTTTACTTGATGACCTCAAACACGATATTCTTTCGAGCAACGATCAATCGCTCTTTACGAAACCATCTCCGGCTTGTGAACAAAACTTAACTCAACTGCCTTCCGAAAGTCAAACCCTAGCAAGTAAAGACGAAAATTTGGTTTCCGGATCTATAATAGGTAAGTTAGTGACTGATATCCCGGAGAATTCATCAATACATGACTTGAGGTCTGCAGACAAGAGTGCCACCGTCGACCATCAAACCCCCTCCTGCACCGCCAAGCAAGCCCCCGCATGTGACAGCTCTGGCGCGCCCCAGCATGCGGCGAACGTTGACAGCGCAGAATTTCCGCGTGACGTCACCCACCGTGCAGCAGCTCGTGAGTAGCTGATCTTTTTAATAGCAAATTATAAATTATAATCGTTTCGAATATATGATAACATTTTTTCACTGTCAATTTCTGTATAATTGTATAAATATAAATAATTAATGAAGTTTGAAACGCAGGCGTGTACTTCATTGTCGATTTGCTGCATGCGACCAATATTTCGTTATATGTTCTTTGTACGTGATTGTTAAGTATTTATTTACTGTCTTTGTTTAGGGTTACTGCATCATGAATTTTTTTATCTGGCGTTCGCAGGCATCCTGTTGATTCAGGGATGTTTGACGCAATCGATTCAATTTTCTCTATCAACTTGTGGACGTATGAATGTGTTTTACGTTACCTATAATAGAAACAATATATAGTGCTTATGGCTAACGGTTATTCAATGTATAACTCGTCATCTGCTCCATCAATCGTGTATTACTTAGCGTTCCTACGTCTTGTTTGCACCGCGAAACAATTTCGCTTCCAGCTTTTGTCCAGATTCTTACATCTCTTTTTCTTCTCTATTATTTACTCGCCAGCAATATCAGTAATACACTCTTATTAGAAGATCATTCGTACAATAACCTATTCGATCCTTACACTCAACACGTGAACTATCTTGTGAATTACCATATGACATTACCAACACCATAGTTGGTAACGTCAGCACTTAACCTAAAGCTTGGGACCATAAGTCGCGTTAAATATTTATGTTACACATTTTGCAATTCAATTCTCGATGAGGCTTCAATCATCAGACCAGTGCCCCTACCCCATTTATATAAGATTTGATATACAGTGCATTTTGTATAGTTAATCTCTCTCACAATTGTATTATAGATACGGTACACGTCCAGTAATATCGTAGTGAATAATCAAGAGCCTTCCCTGCGTATGCGCATCCCTCACATGCTATGTAGGAGACGATGTCGAAAACTACGACCTATAAAATGGAATCAAAACCGAAATTTGTGCAGGCCCATTGCTTTTCTGTTACTCATCCAGTGATATATAGTGGTGAATAAGCGAAAAACCTTCCTTCGTGTGCGTATCCTTCCCCTGTAGTAGACGATTTTTAGAAACCACGATCGTTGAAATAATGAAACCAACACCGAAATCCATGATGGTTCATTGGTTTTTTGTTACAGGAGCGTCTTCTGTGTTGGTCCCTCTGAGGCCTGCACCTCCGCCTCCTTCTTTGTGTGCGTACTTCTCTGTGTTCTTTAACCCCTGGTTTTTGTTAGTTGTAAACGAAGCCGTGGTAACTTTTCGTTAATATAGGACTGGTAATTAAAGTGGCCACAAGTAGACTGCAGGTTTATAACTGGAATTAAATCAGCTGTTTGTATACGAGCTCATTTATGGTACGCAAACCTAGACACTTGCTGGAAATAGTTTCCCTTTCAATACACGAACTGTGAATGTTTTAATAAGTTGACTGTGCATGGCAATGTTCCAAGGCTAGGTTACGACAGAAAGATAATATGTAAATATATATACATTTACTGTCTTGTTTTGTGTTAGCTGTGTGGCTCTTATATTTATTCCTGAAAATTACCGTATGCATCTAAATATACTCAGATATTCGAAGCCTCTAAACTGAGCCGTCTGCATGGTTTGTTCGTGACATTTATTGTAAGTTTTTGCTAATTGATACAGGTAGATAAGATACAGTATTTTTTCCTAGTTTCAACTGAGATGTTTCCATAAGACAATATACAAAAAATATAACTCAGTACTCACTGCAGTGAGTGACAGAGAGCGCATTTTCTCGTCGATGAAAACGTGAAGTCACGGAAGGACGGACGGACGGACAAACAGACAGACAAACGGACGGACGGACGGACTGATGGACTTGACGAGCACAATAGAGTTTTTTCCATAAATAAGAAAATGCGCTAAAAATACAGAATGAACCCATTGATCACATTCATGTACTCACCCGTCTTCACGGGGCTCTTCACTACTGAGTAACTTGCATGTGCCTTAAAGAGTTACGCATTTTCTGAGTTATATTCGTTATATGCAATATCTGCCTATATAGTGTCTTGCATCCTAAGTTTTTGTTTCTGCTTCTATGCATGGTTGAATGTCCCTGTTGAAGCTTGACTTCTCGGTTACGTTAATGTAATCTCTGATTGATTTGCAATCCTTCAGTTTCGATTACAGAAAGCCCAATTTCGACTCTCGCAATTCTGGAAATGCCAATAATACCTCAACAACTCTGTAAATGCTAGTAATACCGGTACCCCAACAACTCTTTGGATGCTAATAATACCTGAACAACTCTGTAAGCACTAATAATACCTGAACAACTCTGTAAGCGCTAATAATACCTGAACGACTGTAAGCGCTAAAAATACCTGAACAACTGTAAGCGCTAAAAATACCTCAATGTCCATGGAAAGTCTGATGCAATTCGATGGTCGGTCTTCAGGCCGGGCAGCCAGCCTGCCGGCCACGCGGTCGCTGGGGACCACTAGCGGGGTGGGTCTCACCCATCGCTATGATGACGTGGCTCCTGACGCAGACATGCTCGGTCTGGAGCCTCCCTCTACTGCTGCTGGGGACGTGGCTGACCTCTCTGTCTCTGTTCCCGCATCAGAAGAAGAAGAAAAAAATAACGCAGGTGGTTGTTTATATAAGTATTGCTTCTCAGCAGACCCGCTAATGATAATAATTAAGTCAAGAATTGATTGAAGTGCGTTAATTTAAGATGGTTATTCTAGTAATTTTAATTTATATCAGGCTGGTAATTTTTGTTTTATTATCAAGAAGTTATTGTTTTATCTTCGGATTTTTTTTTGTATTATTCGAAGTACGGTGCTTCTAATGGTATTCTAGTGTAGCTGTATTATTTCTGATGTTTTTTGTTTAATTTTAGGATAATGTCAGGGCTAGTTTGGTGTAACTTGGTTATTTTAGAGTTATTGCAGTCGTTTCTCTGGCAATTTTATGGTTATTTTAAGGAAATCTTAGTTTTCAGCCGGTGTCCAGTATCGAAATACAGACGTAATATATACTTTGTTCAAAGACTTAGATAGAAAGATACTGTTAAAAGAAATCTAACTTGTTCCTGAGCGCCCCACCGCTCAGCTCGCGGTGTCTGATTGCGGGTTAAGTTATTATGTAGGTAGGATTCCTTACATTAAGTTGGTTATTATGTTTGTAGGATTCCATACATTAAGTTGGTTATTAAGTAGGTAGGATTCCATACATTAAGTTGGTTATTAAGTAGGTAGGATTCCTTACATTTCCCTTCTCTGTCTCTCTCGTGCGGGCGGCCGACGTCCCGTGTACGCGACCTCTCGTTCGAGTGTCTTCGTTTCTGTTGCTTTTCACCTGTCCCTCCTTGTCACTTCGTCTCTTTGAGATGCTAACGCTGCTTCCTTCAGCGGGCTGCACATCTGAGACCTTCCGCCCCTTGTGGGTGATGAAAAAATTGAAAAATTTTCAATAATTGAAACCTGCCGCATTACTGGAATGTTAATTTTTTACCTTCGGTGCGAAACAGCTTATTGGCTGAAGCACTAGCAAACCCTACCTACTACTTCGTACTACTACTTAACAGAAATCTACATTTTATAGCAAGAGCTTAATCAAATGGATATTTTAATCATTTTCTATTTAAAAGTGACTGTAATTCGTTTATGCCGTACACTGTTAGAAAAAACGCTCCCACTGGCATTCTAGTGGCCGGTCGCCCCGTGAAAATAAACTTTTTCGCCGTTTTTGTCTGATGTTTTACGGATTTCTAGGGTTAAATTAGAATAAAAACGACGACACGGTGTTTCTTTTCACGTTCCGACCGGCCACTGAAACGCCGGTAATACCGTTAACGGTAATTTTTCTAACAGTGTAGTAGTATTTCAAAGCAATTGTATTATTTGTTCCCCAGACTCAGAAGCTGCTAAGGAGAAGCGGTCGGTGTTGAGACGAGAGCTGGTCCAGGAGCTGCTCACTACAGAGGTGGAGTTTATTATATGTTACTTATATTATATATCAATTATATTATATATTAACAATATTATAATTTATACGTTTCTCATCCACGACCTCGAGGCGCTCGTGCAAGTACGGTGTGCATTTAACTTTATATTATATCTTAATTATATTATATATCAATTATATTATATATTAACAATATTATAATTTATACGTTTCTCATCCACGACCTCGAGGCGCTCGTGCAAGTACGGTCTGCATTTAACTTTATATTATATCTTAATTATATTATAATTGTCTCTCAATACAGCAAATTGTATTACTATAATTATCTCAATACAGCAAATTATATTACTATAATTATCTCTCAATACCGCAAATTATATTATAATTATCTCTCAATACAGCAACTATGACTCGCGCAGCTAAATAAAATTAGTATCATTATGGCAGTTTGTCTACTTCATATTATATATTAATTATATATTAATATATAATATGAAATTATATATTAATTATATAATATGTTTCCCAATTTTGTTAATAATTGTTAAATCTTATAGCGGTTGTGGGAATTTCTTTCCATGCTGGTATTTATATTGCATTGACGGATATTTCTGTAAATAATGGAAGCCCCTTTTTAGGTGGGTATTCACTAGGAAGTATTTTTATTTTTAAAAATTATTATTGATGTTCTGTTATTGTGTTTTGTGGTCTCCTCTGTGAATAAAAAAAACGATAAAAGAATGAAGGTCATGATTTATAACCACTAAAAAGCTATAATTTTTGTCTGGCGTTTTGCAGGTCGCCCGCACCACGGCGACCCATGCAAAGCAGGCTGGGGTAGACCTACCAACGCTCATGGGCAACGTCAAGCAGGTACAGTTTGCTGGCAACGTCAAGCAGGTACAGTTTGCTGGCAACGTCAAGCAGGTACAGTTTGCTGGCAACGTCAAGCAGGTACAGTTTGCTGGCAACGTCAAACAGGTACAGTTTGCTGGCAACGTCAAGCAGGTACAGTTTGCTGCTGTCTCTTATACACATCTAGATGTGTATAAGAGACAGAGCAGGTACAGTTTGCTGGCAACGTCAAGCACTGTCTCTTATACACATCTAGATGTGTATAAGAGACAGGGTACAGTTTGCTGGCAACGTCAAGCAGGTACAGTTTGCTGGCAACGTCAAGCAGGTACCTGTCTCTTATACACATCTAGATGTGTATAAGAGACAGCGTCAAGCAGGTACAGTTTGCTGGCAACGTCAAGCAGGTACAGTTTGCTGGCAACGTCAAGCAGGTACAGTTTGCTGGCAACGTCAAACAGGTACAGTCTGTCTCTTATACACATCTAGATGTGTATAAGAGACAGCGTCAAACAGGTACAGTTTGCTGGCAACGTCAAACAGGTACGGTTTGCTGTCGTAACTGACATATTGCGTGTAGGAAACAGGTGCCTGGCTCATGTATGCATATTATCTTATTCGTGAATTATATCTTATCTCCAATGGTGTTATCTGACAAACACGCAGTGACAATCGTCATCATTGTGAATGAAAAACAAAGCGCATTATAGTGCGCATTGTGAATGAAAAACAAGGCATTTATTATAGAATTGATGCATGAAAATTGTTTCATAAGCTCTCGGTGCCAAAATCTCTTGAAATATCAACAGGTTGAAGATTTCACATCGATGGGACTGGTCTAGAACACTAAGAAAATATCAAATTAAATCAATTGCTATCAATGATAATAAATCAATTGGAAACTGTTCACATTTAATTAATATGATCAACGTAACTAAATCAGCAGTTATTTTTCAGATAATATTAGCAGCGAAGCAGCTGCAGAAGAGCTTGCAGAGCGTCTCTTTCAACAGTGACGACGAGCTCGACATCGGCGCTGTGTTCCTGGCCGAGAGCGACAGCCTCTGCGACGCCTACAAGACATACTGCGCCCACCACACCACCGTCGTCGANAGCTCTCGGTGCCAAAATCTCTTGAAATATCAACAGGTTGAAGATTTCACATCGATGGGACTGGTCTAGAACACTAAGAAAATATCAAATTAAATCAATTGCTATCAATGATAATAAATCAATTGGAAACTGTTCACATTTAATTAATATGATCAACGTAGCTAAATCAGCAGTTATTTTTCAGATAATATTAGCAGCGAAGCAGTTGCAGAAGAGCTTGCAGAGCGTGTCTTTCAACAGCGACGACGAGCTCGACATCGGCGCTGTGTTCCTGGCCGAGAGCGACAGCCTCTGCGACGCCTACAAGACATACTGCGCCCACCACACCACCGTCGTCGAGCCCCTGCTGTCTCAGGTGTTGGCATGGGCATGACTCCTATGGTCATGGTCAGGACTATTATGATTATGGTCATAACTCTAATACTATTCATTGTCATAACTCCCATGTTCGTAATCATAACTCTAATTTTATTTGTCGTAACTCCCATGTTCGTGGTCATAACTCCCATGTTCATGGTAATAACTCCCATGTTCATGGTCATAACTCCCTTGTTCGTGGTCATAACTCCTATGTTCATGGTCATAACTCCCACGTTCATTATCATAACTCCCATGTTCATGGTCATAACTCCCTTATTCATGGTCATAACTCTAATGTTCATTATCATAACTCCCATGTTCATGGTCATAACTCTAATGTTCATTGTCATAACTCCCATGTTAATTATCATAACTCCCATGCTCATGGTCATAACTCCTATGTTTATTGTCAGAACTCTAATTTTCATTGTCATAACTCCCATGTTCATGGTCAGAACTCTCATGTTCATGGTCAGAACTCAGAACTCCTATGTTCATGGAAAGAAATCCTATGTTTATGGACAGAATTCCTATATTCATGGACAGAACTCCTATGTTCATGGACAGAACTCCTATGTTCATGGACAGAACTCCTATGTTCATGGTGACATATTGCTTGCAGGAAACAGTTATCTTGCTCTTGCATTTTATCTTTTTCGTGAATTTTATCTTATCATTAATGGTATTATCGGACTAAAATGCAGTGATAGTCATCGTTGAGAATGAAAAGCAAAAATTTACAAGTAATCTGTTTCAGTTGGCATTTTACACTTTAATCTGTTGCCCTGCATGCAAAATCCTAGTCAAGATTTTATCGAAAAAAGTACTATGTAATTATGCAAAACTTGACCATTCCTTATGAAATTAATGCATGAAAATTATTTCATGAGCTCTTGGTGCTAAAATCTCTTGAAATATCAACATATTGATGATTTCACATCGATAGGACGGGTCTAGAACACCAAGACATACTAATTAAATTAAACCAAGTGCTACCTATCAATGATAATAAATCAATATGAAACTGTGCAGATACAATTAGTATGATCAACGTAGCTAAATCAGCAGTTATTTTTCAGATAATATTAGCAGCGAAGCAGCTGCAGAAGAGCTTGCAGAGCGTGTCTTTCAACAGTGACGACGAGCTCGACATCGGCGCTGTGTTCCTGGCCGAGAGCGACAGCCTCTGCGACGCCTACAAGACATACTGCGCCCACCACACCACCGTCGTCGAACCTCTGCTGTCTCAGGTGGGGCCATGAGCAGGACTTCTATGGTCATGGTCAGAACTCCTATACTTATGGCCAGAATCCTAATTTTCATTGTCATAACTCCTATGTTCATGGTCAGAACTCCTATGTTCATGGTCAGATCTCTAATTTTCATTGTCATAACTCGTATGTTCATGGTGACAACTCTTACTGTCCCTGGTATATGATTAGCCATGTCTCATACTTTGAGGCATATTCTTAGTTATCCCTCAGACCCTCCTTGGTTAATACAGGTATCATGTCTAACATTTTATTCTACTGCACTGGCATGCATACGCAATCATTTCAAACCAATTTACCAACCTTTTTATCAATGAGGTCTCTCAATGTATGGAGTAGATTAAGTTATGCATTACTTATAAAAATGACTTTTTTCAGTACGGACAACACGGAGTGAAGCGGAAATACATGGAGCAGGTGCTGAAGGAGCTGCAGCAGCACAAAATACAGCTGCTTGACATGCGTTCAGTGCTCATCAAGCCTGTCCAGCGCATCCTCAAGTGGGTTCTTCTTTATTTTCCCTTAATCACATATACGCATTTATTTTCCATTGAAATTAGTTATCGCGTAAGAATTTTTTGCTCTTTTTAGCAAGTGCGATCATTAGCCGCGCAGACACAGTCCCAAGCTTTGTGTTGCGTTCCATGCTGGGGAAAAGGAGACTGATGGCACTGAGTATTTCCTTATTAATGGTACTCTAATCTTTTTTATCAATATTAGGCAGTGATTATTATTGAATGCTTCAATTTTTTTATATGTGTGAAGGTACGGTATCTTCTTTCAGGGATATTTATCAATATTAAGCAGTGATTATTATTGAATGCTTTAATTTTCTTATATGTGTGAAGGTATGGTATCTTCTTTCAGAGATATTTATCAATATTAAGCAGTGGTTATTATTGAATGCTTTAATTTTTATATACGTGTGAAGGTACCCGCTGTTTTTGGACCGGCTGCTCTCCTACACGCCGCCCGGGGAGCCGCAACACGACCATCTCACGGCCGCCACGCAACGCATGGCTGACGTGGCCAACGCTGTCAACACGCACACCAGGCGCATGGACATTGGTGCGTGGTGTGCTGTTGCCACGCATTCTTCAACATGCTGCGCCCAAACTCTCTAATTTCAATCACCATTTTTCGCAATGTTTTGAGGCGTAAATACTCAGTTTTCATCAGCAAATTTCTTAGTAGTAAACGATTTCCGACAGCATTAGCTTAAAGCTTTGTAGACGTATCCTGAAGCTTTGAAGTTAAGTTTTAAACAAAGCGAATCCAACCAAAACATACTAAGTAAAGTATTTTAATTAATTTTATGGTAATATTCAAAGCAATTCTGACTGCTGTTAACTTCGCAGTTCGCAAGTACGGCAGTCAGGGCAGCAGCGGCGCCCCCGAGGCCGCGGTTGCTGGGGGAGGCCGCATGGGTCGCCTGTCCCTGCACTCCATCGCCAAGAAGAGCGCTAGGGTCACGTCACGCCTCTCTGCCTCCCTCGGCCTCTCCACCTTGGTGAGAAATTACATTTTCGTTCAGCCTCCCTCGGCCTCTCCACCTTGGTGAACAGTTGCATTTGCCTCCCTCGGCCTCTCCGGTTGGGTAAACAATTGCATTTTATTCCTCGTATTATTCTATAGTCGACTATATACACCCAGTTTATTGCTTGCACAAAAATTTATTTATATGGATTTGTGAAGGGAGCATAATTATGCACATGTCGGAAATGGAATGCCGATTCCTTGTTAAATAGTATAGATAATCTGACTTTGCATAATAGAATGCTACGACCGTGTGACGATGTATAATCGAATAGCATATATGGTCTGATGATGCTTTATTTAATAGTATGTACAGCATGACAACATATACTCTTAACACATTGTGTAATCTTTCAACGCAACACATGTACACATGGCGTATAATGCAACATTGCAGTAGTGAACACAATTAATAATTCTTCAGCCTGAGGACGTACACATGACGACCGTGATTGCCGAGTACCGCGCGGTGTTGACTGACGTGGCGACGCTGCAGCAGCAGGCGCACAAACTGCAGCAGCTCCTCTCTCTCAGGTGCGTGTTCAACTCAACAGACTTCATATGATATTATGTTTGATATTTCAACATTTTCCAAGATACCTCGTACGATATTATGTTGGATATTTCATTTTACCTAGATACTTCATACGATATTATGTTGGACATTTCAATTTTCCAAGATACTTAGTTTGATATTATGTTGGACATTTCAATTTACCAAGATACTTAGTTTGATATTATGTTGGACATTTCAATTTACCAAGATACCTCGTACGATATTATGTTGGACATTTCAATTTACCAAGATACCTCGTACGATATTATGTTGGACATTTCAATTTACCAAGATACTTCATATGGTATTATGTTGGACATTTCATTTTACCAAGATACTTCGTTTGATATTATGATGGACATTTCATTTTACCTGTTTTCCAATGGTTACCTAAAGTATGTGCATTCGTTTGTTAAAAATAGTCAACTTTCACTAATTTTACACCAAGGAAATGATTTATCAGCTTGCAAACGCTGACGTACTTATTAATTTTCTGGTGTAGTTATCGCAGTAGTGGACTTTTATCCATCACTTTCGTTTTGTTGAAATGATTTCTTTGATGAAATATTGCAATGTTTTCCAGGCACTAATGTATCCTGGCAATTTAATTTGCAGGAGAGTGTAAACAATGAAAATTTCGATCATTGCAGCTGGTATTCTTTGCTATGTCTTAGAAAACAAGCATGCATGAATTTATTTTTTTACGAAAAAAGTGCTGGCATATGCAATTGAAAAGAACATGCATGAACTTAAGAAAGAAATGCTGGTATTTCAGACACAAATCTGAGCTGGCCCTGACCGAGGGTCTGGCAGAGTGTCTGCTGGCAGGAGAGGGACTGCCACGTCACTACCAGGATGTGCTGGATCATGTCAGGACCGCTGCCAGAGAAGTCTGCAACAACGTCATCCCTCCCTTTGTACGTTCTTATTCCTTCCTTTTTAGAGCATTTTCTCATTTATGGAAAAAAATTCACTATTGTGCTCGCCATGTCCGTCTGTCTGTCTGTCCGTCCGTGACTTCAAGTTTTCGTCGACGAAAAAATGCGCTCTCTGTAACTCACTGCAGTGAGTACTGAGTTATATTTTTTTAAGTTATGTTTTATTGAGGTTTCTAAAGTGCCAAATTGTTCAAACTTTTGACTGTGGGAATCCATTGTTCATATTTTATAGGTACTTATATTTTTATATCGAGTGAAATACACGATAAGAAATTGAATTGGGATAATACATGCAAAAATCTTGTAGTATTTTTTCAATCTTCACAGGAACGCACAATGAACGAGATGGTGCAAGTGCCGCTGCAAACCGTATTGTCCCTCACCAACACAACTGAGCGGCTGCTGGTGAAACGTGAACACAAACTACTGGACTACGACCGAGCCCAGCACAAGATGGACCGTAACAGGGACCCTGGCCGTACTAGGGTGGTGAGTGACCGTGGTGTAGTATGTGGTGCAGCCCAGCACAAGATGGACCGTAACAGGGAACCTGGCCGTACTAGGGTGGTGAGTGAACGTGATGTACGGTAGTATGTGGTGCAGTCCAGCACAAGATGGGCCGTAACAGGGACCCTGGCCGTACTAGGGTGGTGAGTGACCGTGGTGTATCACTGGTTGGAGCGTGACAGAGACCTCAGGTGTACTCACGATAGATACGGTACCATATCATTCACCCTGGCCGTGCTAAGGTGATGATTGACCGCGTGGTGTACGGTAGAAATTGTACTAACTTCTAGAGAATCAATCAGGAGATCTTATAGTGATCTTAGCGGCAGTAAGGAGTGATGATGGTGATGATTTTCATCCAAGCTAAGTTTAGTTGAACGTAGTTGAATACAGTAGCGCTCCGCTTCCAATTGAAATTGTAACTTTTTCTTTTGAAGCAAATATCCGAACATAAAAGACAAAAATAAAATTTGATAACTAATTTGCTTGAAATAATGAAAGCTATGACTTATTGTGTTTTAAGATGGAAGTATAAGAAGGAAATTAAAAATTGTACCCTAGCTGATCGATCTAATATTAAATATTATGCCCTTCTAGAATATCAGTAATGAAATTTTTCATAAACTGCAGTTGGAGGAGGAACTGCTTCGTGCGCGCAGTGACTACGAAGCACTGCATTGCCAACTGCTGGAGGAACTGCCACAATTTAATGCCTCAGCGTCAGCTATACTTGGCAACTGCCTCACTGCCTTCTTAAGCGCCCGCACTCTACTGCACGGCAGGCTCGCTAAGAAGTACTGCACCCTGAAGCAGGTACTGCGCCCTGAAGCAGGTACTGCACCCTGAAGCAGGTACTGCACCCTGAAGCAGGTACTGCGCCGTGAAGCAGGTACTGCGTCCTGAAGCTGGTACTGCGCCATTTTGAATCAAGTCATACACCCTGACGCGTGAATTTATTTCAATTTTATATTTTCCTCCACTAAACTATTTGGCCACGTTTTTGTTAATTTGTAAAGATTTATTCTACGTTAACTCGCTGGATTTTTTAAGTGTATGATCTCGTTCACTTTTTGAATAGTCTACAAGGGTACGTTCTGAATGAAGGATTTGTACCTTATTTTTTCAGGTTATTTCACATTGAATTATTCTAAGTGCGTGTTGATTTTACAACTACGCAGTGATAGCTAAAAGTTCCATGTTGGCAAGTCATTTCTGAATTTTGTAATTAACCTATAACTGGAGCAAATTAAATTGTATCTCCAGCGAACTCGAGAAATATTGTAATTTTGTACGGCACAAATTTCAAGTATGGTACCAGGCATTTCATAATGAGGTAATTAACTGATAACTGCTACATAGGTGCTTGAATCTTTTTCAAATTCGGGAAACATGTTAGTTTCAAACCTGTGTACTGACTGTGAAAATACTGGAGCGGTTGTTACATAATTAGGTAACTAACTGCCACAAACGAACATTTATCTTCACTGAAACCGAGTAATATGTGAATTTTACAACTGTGCACTAACTAAAATTTTCAAGTAATGTTGGTTTAGTCGATATTAATGAGTTAATTTACTGATAACTGTCACATCAAAATTCATGTGTTCCATTGTATGCAGAACGTTGCAGGCGGCGAGGTGGCCGCTGAAGGGCAGTGGAAGGCGGCGTGCGAGAAGCTCTTACAGCTCAAGTTTGTTGCTGATGGACATTTCAGCTTCAGAGCGACATCTGTCAACCCTCCTGCTGCTGCTGATACGAGAAATATGCCGCAACAGGTGTGTTTCTTTTGTAGTAACTTATTGGTAGGTTATTTCGTCTGGTACAGAATATTATTGCAACAGTTGTGTTGCTTTTGTTACGACTAATTGATACGTTACGGCATCTGTTACAGTTCATTAGGGTCATGATTCTGTGTCGGCTAATACCTACTCAGTTTAGTGACTGTGGTACAGGAGTTTTGCGTTAGGTTCCATCCGTTTTATTAAATTCACCTTTTATTGAAATTATTTGTAAAATAAGATAATCAACTCCTCACCTATTTGAACATTGAAAATATAGAACAAATTAGAATATTTCGAATCCTTTTTCTCCCATTTGCTAATTTCGACAAATTATCTATGCCTTGGGAATTAAATCATTAGTTTTTTAACAAATTATTGCCACGTGCAGCATTGAAAATATAGTACAAATAAAATATACGTTTAAAAATTACTTTTTAAAGACAACACTTCCAAAGAATCCAGTGTCTCCAATCTTAAAGATGTACCATGAATTTCTCATTTAATTTTCGAATATTAAAAAAATTAATTTTTCAANCCGGTTCGAGCTTCGGTCGACTACGGACGTGTGTATGTGATAGAGTGAGTACATTTTTGAATCGGTGAATAAATAGAAAAAAGTCTTAATTTTGAGACGGGCACCTATTTGGAGTACCTTGTTTGTACAAAAAACCAGCAGAATGCCCAAGCCCAAAGCTAAACGTAAGAAAAAAGAACAAGGAGATGGAGCATCAATATCATCCGACTGCTCAGAAACCTATTCTGCTTCCGGTGTCAGCATTACTAATCCCTCTGCAATACCCACCTGGTCACAAATGCCACCTCTCAGCCTTGATGACATTGTACCACCTGTCTCTTATACACATCTAGATGTGTATAAGAGACAGGAGTAGCTCCATGTGGATGATGGAGGTGAGTAGCTCCATGTGGATGATGGGGTGAGTAGCTCCATGTGGATGATGGAGGTGAGTAGCTCCATGTGGATGATGGTGGTGAGTAGCTCCATGTGGATGATGGTGAGTAGCTCCATGTGGATGATGGTGAGTAGCTCCATGTGGATGATGGGGGTGAGTAGCTCCATGTGGATGGAGGGAGTAGCTCCATGTGGATGATGGGGGTGAGTAGCTCCGTGTGGATGATGGAGGGAGTAGCTCCATGTGGATGATGGGGGTGAGTAGCTCCATGTGGATGATGGAGGTAAATATCTCCATGTGGGTGATGCTGGTGAGTTAGATGATGAAGGTGAGTCGCTTCATGTGGCTGGCGGTCAGTATCTTAGTGGATGATGAAAGTCCGTGTCCATGTCTCCTTGTGGATGATGACATGACAGTCTGTATCCTTGTCTCTTTGTGGATGATGACAGTCCGTATCCTTGTCTCCTTGTGGATGATGACAGTCCGTATCCTTGTCTCCTTGTGGATGATGACAGTCCGTATCCTTGTCTCCATGTGGACAATGACAGTCCGTATCCTTGTCTCCTTGTGGAGACAAAGAGACAAGGATTTTTACATAGTTTCTCCGTTATCTAGAACAAGGTTTCCCAAGCATGAAAATTGTTTCCAGACATGGAAACAGCGGTTATTCGTAACTGAAAATTACATTTTCATAGGAATTGGAGCTATGCGGTAATACCCATTAAGCGAAGTCAACTGAATATGTATAATCTGTGTTTAAATATGAAGGCAGAATTTGTTGTATTCTTTTATTTTGTAGAAGTTTAACGGTGAGTATAGTCATTCATAATCATTATTTTCTTAGAAGTTCTATGGTTTCGATTGATTTTTATGCTAAAATCACATAGTAATATTTTAAAATTTTCCAGAGCGTACTGGGTTCGTTCGTTCATCCGTGCTTGCTCCGTACCATGAAGTTGAATTACGAGCTCAACAAACGGTGCCATCCGCCAGCACCTTGCCTCATCCACCCTCTAGAGCCTCATCCAATCCTCCAAAATATGAGGACCTTTTCCCCGCCATGTCCTCTCTCCCTCCTGGTCACCGTCGGTCCGGGTCCGGTACACAGATGAGAGGGACCGTTGCCGGTGCCTCCTATCCCAGTCCACTCGTGGAGGTTGTTCCGGCTGCCCCCCTCCATTACGGTACCAAAGATGGCAGTTCCGGGGCACCGTCGGTCCGGGTCCGGTACTCAGATGAGAGGGACCGTTGCCGGTGCCTCCTATCCCAGTGCACTCGTGGAAGTGGTTCCAGCTGCCCCCCTACATTACGGTACCAAGGATGGCAGTCCCGGGGAACAAATGCCAGTTCTAAGACCGAGATCCTCCAGCGACTTTGGGTCTTCAACTGTCGCTGGCGCCCGAGCGAAACTGTATGGAGTTGTCCCAGCTGTCGAAGGTGATGTAAACTCTCCACCTCATGGCTTTGGAGGAAAAACTGGAAGAAGATCTCTGCCATCGGCCGATGTTAGGAGATCCCCAAGAAAGTCTGTTCCGTCCAATGAAGGAACAGAAGCTTCAAGAACTATGGCCCCAGGCCCAGTGAATGACTATAGTGAATCTGAAGGAGGAGGTTATGATGACCCAGAAGACGCGGCCAGCGAAAATATTTATGAAGAGTTAAAGACGGTAAGAAATTGGTTACGGAAATCTGTCAACTTTTTTACGAACGAAATTTAAATAATTCCAATGGGATACCAATTGTACTAATGTAGATTTTCCCATTCTTGTTTCCGGCATCTATTTTTTATTCAAACTATCGTTTGAAAATTCTCAATATCTAAAGATATTGAAAGTTTTTTCAGCTATTCAACCATCCATTGTCTGGTTCATGAATTTTTCACTACCACTGGCCAACTCGGAGATAAAATTTACAATTCTATAATATTTCTATTTTCTATCACTTATGGGTGTTTTTTTTTCAAGCAAATATCTGACCAAGTACATTTTACGTGCCAAAAAAATGTGTATCTGTTGAGGCAGTTATATCAGTATTTTGGGCTCAATAACTGAAACAAGATGATAGGAAGAAAAATATAAATTGTTAACGAAGTATTTTTATGACCGCGTTGTATTTGAATTTTAAATACTGAACATATTTGGTTGTAAATTCCCATATGATATCTTGTGTTGATGTTGCACCTGTAAATCTTGCTCTAGGTTAATAAACTCTTGTTAAGCTAAAACATCAATATTAAAAATTTTTTAAATGTTTTAATTTCACACGAAACGTTGGTATGTTTTCTTCGGAATTTCGCTAAAGAATTTTCATAACTCGAAGTTCGTTTTCAACAGGATCCTGCCAGCAGCCACGCGTACGAAGAGATTCCTGAAGGAGGCGTCCAGAGTGAAGACCGCGCCACGTGTGCTGAAGCCTCCGATGACGAGAGCTCATCTGCTGCCTATGCTGAGGTCATTATCATTAAGAACTTCCATGAAACGCTCAAGAATATATTTGGTTCAGAATTTTTTATGGTACATCTTTTATGGCTCTCCATGGAACTTAATCGATGTATTTGATTACAATCAAATAGGTACTGTTTAAAAATTCTACGTAATATATATATCGCCCGAAAATACTATGTAAGATTTACGCAAGTTATGTTTCCTCAGGATCCTTTTTTGAAATTATTTTCTTCAGCATTTCATTTCCCATATTATTATTTTTTTCGTTTGTCAAAAATTATAACGTTTGAAGTTTCTTAATTCGTCAAATCACTAGCGCTTCTATAGCTTTTTATGCATTTTCACAATGAACACTAATTTTTAATTGTGTTCATTATGTATTTTTTTGTTCACACAAGTAAAGAAAAATGTCAAGCTAGTACTTTTCTATAGTATAGGAAACTCCAAAGCTATGATTATACCTAGCAACGCAAAATTATTAAACGTGCAAATACTTCTTCTTGTTGCTTGCAGTTCTTCTACGCCTTGTACAAGTTTGGCGGAGAGAGCAGCAGCAACCAGCTGTCGTTGTATGAAGGACAGGTGGTACTGCTGCTGGAACCTGCTGCCAGAGACGGCGCTCAACCATCTGCCAGAGACTGGCGCTACGTTGAGAACAGACAGGGAGAGCGGGGCTACGTGCCTGCCTCTTACTTGGCTCCTTACTCACCTTAATGCTTTCTACTTGATTTTGTGTGCATGTTTTTCTGCCGTAATTAACAAGTTATATGCCTGTAATTGCAGCAACAACTACTTATTAGGCAGGTTTCAAGAACTCGGTCAAGTTCTTGCCTACTTTTTCTCATTGCATAACAACTGGCTTATAATTATTATTATAATGTCTATTACCCAATACCATTCAGACTCGTACTTGGACCTCCAACCTTCACTGTTCCAATAGGAATCGACGAACTTCTATTAAGATTTTTGGACCGTAAGACTGATACACGTTGTCTATAAACTAGGCCATCATAGTCTTACACGCAATTCGCGCTGTTCATAATGATATCTATCATGACTAAATAAACTAATTACATTGGAATTATAATGGTGTTAGTCCATTCAATTAACTAAACTATGAGGAACTTTTGTTAGACATAGATGCGTTATTCCTTTTTGTGTGCTCATGATTTACTCTTTTATCGTACAGAAATTCAAATGTATTAATTCTTTTTATCCCTCGCCATTTTTTATCCAATTAAATAGTATAAAGGTAAACGATTAGGTTGATTATCAAATATAAATTTTGCCAATGGCATATAAATTCATAGGCTGTGTAGAGTTATCGTCCGGTGAAGAATGGCAAAAACTAAAGAATGTTACGAAATTTCGTCTGATGTTTGTGAGGTTCAACTGAGAACCTTGCAAACATCTAATAAATTATATCAGGTTAAAGTAATTGACCGTGTTGCCGATGTTCAATATCCACGGATTATTTAATTGCATAATTGCAATCGAGCTTGCAGGAGAAATGAATCAAAATGTGAATGTTTCTTAAGAAGATAAATTCATCTTCATTTTGAACAAAATGTGCTTCCTACTCATGACCACGTCGACTAAGGTATTATTTTGAGTGCTATTAATGACTTTCTGTTGTGAACACTTCTTGTATACAAGCGTCTCTATGGTCAGTCGCTACGCACCAGAGTTTAGGCTTCAGTCCCATCCTTTTCTTGTTAACATATTAGGAAAACTATTGTTGACATAAAATGGTCGTTGCGAATGATGATCATTAGTTCTTCAATGCTGACCGAAAATGCTTGAATTTCCGTTTTTGCTTGAATCGCTTCGCCTGCTAGGTATCCAAGTTCTTATAAACGGAAACAGATTAAAATATGATTACTTTGCAAATGTCACCGCCGTTTTTCAATATTACACGGAGGAAATAATAACAATAGCAGTTAAAGGAAACTGGACCTGTGTGTAAAAAATCTTGCATTGCTTAATAAATCCGATGAGATGTGACTACCTGCCCGTGGCCAATAAACTGTGAGATCACAGCTTAATGTTCGTGAATCGATGGAGAGCCCTACCTAAGACGAGGTGTTTTACTGCCTTTATATTCTCTTTGATTTTAACTCTGGCAACTGGTATTCAGCAATTTATTTGTTAAGTCGCAGCTATTTATGATTATTTCATAACTTTGTAAAACCTCTTTAACTTCATTTCGTATAATCTTATTGATGGTGCTGCACTCTAGATTAAGTTGATCTTTGCGTCACGCATTATCCCTTGCTACGTGTTTTCAATGTATAGTTTATATGCCAGTTCAGCTTTTTGTCGGATACATTCTCCGGGAAATTCATTTTCCCCCGTATTTCGGGAAACTTATTAATAATTTCTGCCAATTGCATAAAAATTACAAGTAATAATCTTCCTTACTTCCATGACCTGGCCTCTCACCTGTGCCTATCCTGTGAACTATTACATTCCTTTGCTATTTCTCTCTGACATTAACGAGTAATTATTCTAAGATATGTTATAGTCAATCCTATGATTTTTAAATTCCTAGGAATATTTATCTTCTGATTAACAATTTTTATCTTGACAACTTCATTTTAGATAGCGAAATGGTGGCCCTTATACATGGTAGTAGAGATTTCCACTATCGAGCCCGAATAAAATTTGGTTTATTTTTTTCGTGAACATTTGAAGTTTTAAGTCGTTTGCTGTTGAACTAAACGAAGTTATAATTCGAACAGCAAGCGACATTTATCTAACCAAACTTGTGTCTTTGTAATTTTTAATACAGATGACGACCTCAATACGATGCAGTGAAAATTTTTGGCCGCTCTTGCTGCAATAATACTAGAAATGCACCAATGATGTTATGAATTGTAATCACTCAAGACAGAAGATTGCCTATTTTATTATTGATTTCAAGAGGATGATGTTAAACATGAGTAGTTGCTTCAGTAGCGTAGTACATTCCTAGTATTTACTTCGATTAATGCAAACTGCCATGAAAAGCAGGATTTTACTGCTGCAAATTGTCCTTGCAAAAATCATGTTTAAAAATTGCTTGTTTAGTTCTACACGAAGATTCGAACCAAAATGCTTAAGTTGTTTTAGTTAATAATTTTGAGTGTTGCCTTGATGTTCTTTCTTATAATTAAATTATATGTCGTAGAAAATATGTATTCATTTAACGGGCTGCCTGACGAATCTCACTATATTTTCTACTAATATAACGTGCGTATACTCCTCTGCATTATTGCATTACTTGTCCATAACCTGAACAGGTTTTTCCTTTCATGCGTCGAAGTGGAATTGTTAATAGGTTAGCCAAAATAAAGTGCCTTGTTTGTTGTACCTAGACTTAGAAGTGAAAACTTTCGAAGTAGAAGATTACCTTGTCAAGCACGTCATGCTTAGGAATGTCTTACTTATCTGCTCAATGTTATGCTATTTAAAGGCTTGTGATTATAGATCGGCTTTGAAATGCGCTTTATTGCTTCCGGTTAGTCCTCCAATCTACTCCTGCATTATTATTAATCCTGTTATTTAAAGTATGTGCTCTGCACCTCCATTATACTCCGTCTTCTTCTGGTTGAAAGGTTGACTATGAACAGAACAACAGTACCCGACCAAATGTTTTTTTTACGAATTGTCTGCCCTTTTACATGCCAAATTTTATTTAATTATTAATCAAATCTTAAAAATCGAACGATCTTTGGTCGGGAAAAAAGTTGTCCTACAACTGATATAATTTTTCTGATAACAGCTGTCCAAAGTCCACCTCTAAAAACCTTTAACAAGCTTTTGCTTGAATGTTTAAGTTTTGATCCTCGTATGAAATTTGCAAAAATTGGTCTGACATATAAACCCGATTGAGCTTCTTTTAACACTAAAATTTATTCAAAATCGATCGGTTATGCCCTGATTTTTGTAGAAGTTCAACCTCGTTTAGTGAGGCAACCTAGTTTCTAAGGCCAACGCTTTTTGATTCGGTAGACTCAAATTAGCGAACTACGAGCTATCCATGAAGGTGTGCACGTTTTTTGTTGTTGTTTGAAGGAATAAAACTTTAATCTCTTGGTCAGTCTTTTTAATTGATAGTTATCCTCGCCTAAATTATTTGCGCTTAACACTTGAATTATTGGTGCAAAATGTAATTGATAAATCACCGTTCCTGGAGCCTGAAAGAAGAACAGCGCTCCATTGATTTTTTTACGTCCCACTTCGAACTCATTTAGTCACAAAATAGTGCACCAATAAATGTATTTTTTTTTTCATTTCAATTTGAAATTAATATTTCTGTAGTGATTTATTATTGTTCTATGGCATTTCTGTTATACAAATTGCTGGAAGATTGCGGCTCTGGACCAATCAGGCACCTCACCAATACTGTTATTTTCATTATACATTTTATTATTTTACCTTAATTTTTACTGAAAATTCAGACTAGCTCAAACGCCCATAGCAACATTACTTACTGACAAATATTTATTTTTTGTATAACCACAGTGGTGCACGTATCTCGAAATTTGAAACATTTTCACGAGCTAAGCATCACCGTTAGGTCCTAATGAATACGTGTACCAAGTTTCATCGAGCTACGTTCATTACTTTTGGAGATATTCCTTGCTCACTGAATTCGGGGGCTGCGAGTTCGGCCGTAAATTTGTCCGAGTCGAATCGGTCGTTTCATGAGGGAAACAAGCGCGAGATTAGTAGGGTTTTTTCATTACTTAGTAGTTCCTATCCAATAATCAAAACAAAAAAGACCTAAATTTACCTTTTGTTGATATATTTTAGATTAAAATTTTTTCGACAAATTTGTTTAATATATTTACAAGTTATAACATCGAAGGTCTACCAATTTTAGGTACTTGTGTCGTCTTAGAATAGAAGTGTCGGCACTGAAGAAATAGGCCCATGGCCTGCTGTTGCCGATTCCTGAATTTTTTCGTGACTTGATTCACAAGGGATCCGGTCTTTGGAACCCGATATTTCCATAGCTGGCGATTGATTGAGATAGCTGCTGGACTTATTGCCTGGTCCGTAATTTGCTAGGCATTTCCATGAAGTAAACCCTGCTCTTGCATACAGTTTATTTTGTCTACGAAATTGTTTCTATATAATGTTCACCACCTTGGGCGCTAACATTTAGAATTTTTAAAAATTACATTTGTATCAAATTGAAGTCAGTCGTTGATCTTCTGCGGTACATTTTGTATGCTTTTGGTCCATTTCATGACATCATCTCGAGACCATTCCCTGAAAATTCAATTCTGAAATCAAATTCCGATGAGTTTTGCTTGTATTTTTAATTTAAATTGGTATGGTGTCTTGTTATCTTTTTGTAACTTCATTTATAAGTTTTACACAATTTGAGTGTGATGAATGTAGACGATTCTAGTGCGATGTGGTTATGCTGAACTAGGTATAAACAAAACGTCAAGGTTGTTCAGTGGTCACGTTGTCGAGAATGAGAACTTGAAGTTGACACTTTCCGGCACAACCATAGAAGTTTACAACACCTTGAAGGGTTAAAGCATGAACAAGCAGAACAACGAACACAACTACACATGAGATACGATCATAACTACCTAGCCTATGTGTATCGTTCAGTCGTAGATAGATCGGTTTTCTGGAATTTTCCTGTGACTATTGTGCCATTTACATTGGATTTTGTCATTGGAAACTAATTAGCCTAAATTTTTACACTCTTGAAACACTTGCAAGTTGCAACTTGCAGGCTGCACAAGTGCACAGTTTGTAGGTAGTGTAATCTGTATTCTGTACTCTGTAGTCTGTAGTCTGGACTCTGGCCAGTATAGAATTCTGGAC